ACTTTATCGTGTGGTTGATGTGCTGAAGGTCATTTGTCTGTTGGTACTTACTGGTGCCTAAAATATAACTTTGTCGTAATTTCGATGTTTATATTTGTGGCAATTGTGCAAATAAAAAAAACAACCTCGACGTCATTTACTACTACTGGTGGGTTGATATCAGTAGTTCGGCACCACATACATCAACCAGGAGCGCTCGCTACCTAGTTAGATCGAAGTCATTTATACACCGTCGTTCGGCACCGAGCCCAAAAGTGGTGTATCCGGTTTTTAATTCAGTTCAGAGAGCCAAATCAGTTCAAATCCACCGCCCATCCCACCCCGGATTCTGTCTAAATGAATCCGCTTCCTTTTGGTATTAGTGAGAAGTCACCATCAACACTGATAGAATCTTTGAGTTGCTAGCGGAACACGAGGGGGGGGGGGCGGGGCTTTAGGCGGTGATATTACTAGTCTAACATTCAACCTTCCCTCCTTTTCAGAGCTTGTTGTTGGTGAGTCGGTCGGTCGGTCGGTTTTCGACATAGAACTTTGCACATATGTGCGGCAGTTCAAGTCGCCACACTCCCTCCATGTAGAACACAAAGCAAGAGAAGAAAGTAGGAGAAATGCATATTAGAGACAGTAAACAGAGATGTGAGACAAAGGAATAGCAATAACGAAGAACAAAACAGTTTCATTGGAAATCATGAGTCACAAGGAGTGGATGCATCTGCGCCACTGAGAACGATTTTGAGCCATGTCACCAATTGTTTCCAACCATTGGTTTTTACCGTCCCGAGGACCCCAACCAGGTGAGTAAATAAAGCAAAGGTTAGGAGTGCATCGAACAAGAATAAAATCCCGACCATCTGGTGTGGCTGGGCGCCCCCACCCAAGTACTCATCTATGAAATACTAATCTGAATTTTTCTTTCTTTTATTTTGTTATGATTCCCACAATTCTCCACACACCCACACACCGCAAAACTTCAGTATGCATTTTTTCAATTCCCCAGCAGACGCAAAAGATAAGTGTTACAATATATTAATAATTCACCGTTATTTTCACGCCTACACACACATGCACGCATAGATACAAAATAAAGTGAAAAATAATTAATTAACTAAATAAAACTTCGAGTGCAATTGGTGAGGAAACAAAAAAAACACCGAATGCATATTCTCCACTCTCTACTATCTATCTCTATCTTTTGGAAAATAAATTTTCCGTGACTTCAAAAAATTAAAAAAAAGAATATTCTTTGTTTGTTTCCTTTTTATTGTTTTTTCTGTAAAAACAAGATATTTCGCCTTTTTGATGTTTGCTTCCGATTGAATGAATTAGAGCATAAATTGATTAAATTTCTTTATGGTACACAAATAAGGGAAACAGAAAAACGACTACTCTCTCAAACAAAAAAGCTAATTTCGTGATTATTTGCCTAATATTCTCAGCAAACTTCAGTATTCATTTTTGAATGCTTAGTACATAGAGAGAGAGAGAGAAAGAGATAAGTCAGAACATTTACTTTTGGTTTAAACCCCCACTAATCCCGAAAAACCATCTGGTATGATTGAGGGTGAGAAGATTCCTGTCTCTCCCTACAAATGCTCTTCTGTGGGGTCATAGCCAGCCAAGTAGGCCCCATTCATTTCCTTCATAAGGTGTCCCAGTCTTCCCGACAAAAGTTAAAGTGTGAATGCGCACATCTAACGGTTACACAACCGAACTGGTGGACATGGTGGTCTACTAAGCATAGCAGAAAAACCCTGATTCCAAATCTATAGTTTGTATAGGCCACGAAATTTAAAAGGATCTAATAGCGTATGAATATGTTCTGATGCGTCGGTGGCATAGTGGTTAGGACGCTCGCCGACCCTGCACATGGTCCGGGGTTCGGTTCCCGGCCACCGACGCACTCCTTTACCACACTAACCCAGTAATTAGACTGGTGAAGAGGGAAGGTTGGGCATGAGGCTGGCAACCCCATCCTGTAAAATAAACACTGCTACAGAAACTTCAAGCCACTAGCTTGAAGCCCTATGTTACACTGGGGAACGTGAAGGAAAAACACAAACACACATGTTCTGATCACCGGAAACTATGGTGAGAACGTAACGACGCCTGACACTGCTGCACCAACTCGTGAATCAGACTTCAATTCGAAAACTCAGCAGTAGGTTGGGGCTGCTTAGGACAACCATTCGCTTTGGTCTAGGTACCCCCCCCCCAGGCCTCGTACAACCTATCACATTTTTGTGAGGTATCTGTCGGTGTCCATCATATACTAAATTTGTGTTTTAATAATAATATTAATAGCTACATACAAACTACATTGATATCTAAGGGACAGAATACACACACATGCACAAATTTCAGCACCTCCATAATTTCATGTACAAAGCTATTACCATTGTTGTTATTCCGATCGTAGAGTCATTGAAAAACGTCATGGAGAAAGTTTTGTCAGCCGAATGAAGAAAACATATTTCCTCACATGAAAAGCAGGAGAGAAACTGTGGAACAACTAAAGAAGACGTAAGATGTATATCTTCAAATGAAAAGCATTAACTTAAACACCAAGTTAACTTGAAAACGAACAAAAGAAAACACCTCTTCAATTTAAAATGGATTCCAGAAAGTTTATGGAATATAAATAAAGCTGTAAGAGTGAATAATGATAACAGGAGTGCTAACAGTCGTTACTAGAAATTGTCAATGACGACTGGAAGCGAAGTATTCAGGGCCTTCATGTATACATGCTCTAGGATTGCTGGTGAAATAATTCAAATCCCGAGATCTTTCATCAACACACAGAAATTTTAAATACATTTATGAGGTGAATAAAGCGTGAAGGCATCGTCTCTTCATCACTGCAATCGATTCTTAGTCACAACATTGAGGTTTTTTCTCACTGAGCATATCAGACACCACTCACTCATACACCAACAAGGGGATAGTTTCACAAATTTATTCCTAACTCTGAAGATACAGTATCTTCAAGTAACCTGTGTTTGAGTATGTTTCTTTACACATTACAAGTAAAACAGAAAAAGAAAATATAGAAAACAAAATTCAGCCAAATTCAAAACTACAATCACAGTTTCTGACGAACTACGCAATGAACTCTAGTAACGAACTCCAGTCAGGAACTTATCGCCCAACGAATAATGCAGAAGAAAGTGGAGATGGACGGATCGAATAGACATGAGCTGAGAAAAGCCCGTTGAGTAAGATCATGTGTCAGTTAGGTCCTTCAATCGAATCCGAATGCGAAATGAAAAGTTTGACTGCCGATTTGAGGGTGACACGGAGAAGATCGTTTGAGAAGGGAATAGAAGCTTTTTGGGGAACTGTGGAGCCAGCAGAGAATAGAGTGAAATGGTGATGAAGCCTTATGTTCCACACAGAACCCAAGGGAACAATAATAATAATAATATGTAATTAACACGTGAAGGAATTGAAGGTATTGGAAGGATTGATTACCCGCCAAGTAGTATGGATGTGAACAGATCCAGAGATATACACAATACAAAAGCCTGTAGAAAAAAACTACACAATAATATTATGACAAAAATAACTAAGTCATAAGTGGCTCAAAGATAATGAAATAGGGATTTCACAGAAAATCATTTAAAAAGGTAGTGGGTATTTAGAAGAGTCACATTTTTTTCAAAATGTGTACACAACTACTCACCGTTAGTTATTGGATGAGTAACCTGGAGAAAAAAACAAAACAAAAAGAAGAGAAACGATGAAAAGCGGGGGGATAAATCACCGAAAAATTGACACAAAAATAACATTATTTTTAGTTTCTACACAGTTAAAATGTGAATTTGCAGTATGGTGAATGATGCACAGTGATACTCACTCTGTGATCCCTATTTTATTGATATGATAAACGAGAAATTCAAACGAAAGATCCAAAGTATAGAATGGATATGCTAAATGATGATGATATATATATATATATATATATATATATATATATATATATATATATATATTAGACCTTGTATGCTGTTTCTGTTGCTCCCTACTGTTGCCCAATTGTTTATCCACTTTCCAGTTGACTAATTATCATTTTGATCTCATGTGAAAGACAAACTGTATGCATTTACCCCGACTGAAAGCTGCTACCTTGACGTGGTGGTCGGACTTGAACACCGCAATGACCCAACAAGCTATACTGGCTGAGACTTATGTCGCTTGAGGTCCTACCATGCCAGAAAGGTTGTTTGGATAGCGGTTAGACAAAAAGCAGTTACCCAATCCAACGCTATGACTCAAACAAAATCACAAAATATCATGCCGGATTAACAACGACCGCGCTTCCTGCTGCCGTGTCACAGGGTAGAAGTGATAAATATGCTACTGAGACATACCAAGTAAAAAAGAACAAACAAAAAACAGGCCGTATATGACCGGCCTCAAGCAGTTCTCCCCTAGGCTCTGCGGTCACGCAACCAACTTCCACGTTGTGGGCAGCCGGGAAGTAACAGTTACCCTCACAATCCGAAATGCACGCGAAACCTCTCTAGTCCTCACAATCCGACAGTATGCATTTACTGATATGAGTATAAAACTTGGGCAATGTAGTAAAGTATAAGTTCATTATGGATAAAATTTCATTTTGATAAATTACACAATGTTTTTCAGTAATATTGACTGATGACGTCGTCAGTTAATATTACTGTATAACATCACTGTGTGATTTATGAAAATAAAATCTTGTCTATAATGGTTTATGCATCTACAAATTTAATATACGTGTAGGATTTGGCCACGGTGGTAAAATGTAATTTCATATTAGAAAAGTTTATTTTAACAATCACACAGTATTAACAACTGGATGACAAGGTTACCAGCACATAAATTATTACCACTCATAATCACCAATCAATTTTAGTCACACGTTTTCACAATTTGTATTAAAATATACGTCTTTTCTCTTTTTCTGTCTCGCCAACTTCCCTTTGTTGTTTGTTACCACTTTCCATATCTCCGGTATAGGCGTTGTGTTGCATCATTTCGATCGCACGTGTTTGGTGTTAAATCAGTCATTAACCTCTCTCCCTCTCTCTCTCTCTCTTTGTCTTCACCTAACTATACTACTTTTTAATACTCTCTCACCCTGTCCCACCCTACTGCATGTGATTACAAGCAAGTGAATGCAATGCAGTGCAATGGCTGAGGGTTTTTCTAGGTTATTTAACTTCCTTAGCAGGGTCAATTATTCTAGGTCTAGCTGGCTAAATTTTTATGTTCCAATAATCTAGTTGACCCCGATCTACTAGTTTGACTGACCTATGTAATTGATCTCACTTACAGTCATCACATGGTATTGGGTATATATATTATATTTTTTAAATTGTATCTATTGGCTCCTTAAGCCAAGAAAGTCTATCTCTGACAGAGTTAGTTGGTTGGTTTAAATGCCACCCTAATTCCAGTGTCATTCAGAATCCTACGTAACACCGCTGACGTCCCTTCTTTATACGGCAGTGCTACAGAGGCTTTGAATTCTATATATATTATTTTCGTTAATTTCGTCACTTTTATTGCTAATATTAGTTTTTCTATGGTTCTTCAACACAGAATACGTGCAATCAGAATAACGCAACGCAACGCGTATACCGGAGATACGGAAAGCGGCAACAAGTTGGAGAGAGACCGAAAGAGAGAAAATATACATATATAAGACAAATTGTGAAATCGTGTGACTAAAATTGATTCCTAATTTTCATAAGACATTGACTTCATTTTATAATTGACACTGTTTATTTTTGATTGAACACTAGTCAGTAACTAGTGTAATGTGTCTAGTCCTATCTTCGGTGCAGACTGAATTCTATCAGTCATGTTTGCAATGTGGCCACCATGCTAGGTGGCTCGCCATTACGGTGCACTGTGAATTGTTGGTACTAGATGGTTGGAGGCAATCGGCCACAGGAAGCCTTGGACTTAGGTTTCGTGCTAGCTGGCACTCATCAGCAAGGCGTATCTGCAACCTTGAAGGAACTGATGTCCCTTCTGAGATTCGAACCCGCATCACCCAGTGCTGCAGTCAGAGACGTTACCACTGAGCTATTCAGGCTCGCGACTGACCTCCTGTAGGACTATATTGGATATTTTTGATTGAACACTAGTCAGTAACTAGTGTAATGTGTCTAGTCCTATCTTCGCTGCAGACTGAATTCTATCAGTCATGTTTGTTTACAATATCAGGCTTTCTTGATCATTGTTATTATTTATTGGGTCAACCCCCTTGTACTATCGTTATCATTCACATTATTATGATAACTGATCACACTTACAACATTCACCAATAATATACTTGATCCACAAGTTCAGTATTATTGGTTCAGGCTATATAGATATTGTATTATTACATAATATATTATTCTCTTGGATTCCGAGTGGAACATACAGTTTCAACAACACAAAACATCTCCACTTTCTTCTATTCACTGCTGCCCTCTTCAGCTGAATAGCTCCACGATTGACCACAATCTCTCATCTCCTCCTCCAACCCACACGATCTCCTCCCTCCATGTCACTGACACACTGACGACCCACTCATCGCTTCCTATTCGGATTTCACTCGAGTGATGGCATGTAGTGCAGGCGATGTTATTCAATAGTTTCTTCAATGTATGCCTCAATCCATCTCCATTTTCTCCTGCATATTTGTTGAGCAATCAGTTCTTGGTTGGTTCGTTCCCAGCAAGAGTTTCTTGTTGCTAATTTTTTCGTTGGCCATTTGATCTTCAGTATGGAGCCAGCCATGAGGGCAGCTGTTGATAAATGGGTGCATCTTGTTGGAAATCCTTTTCACGGGCCAAGTTTCTGACCCGTATAGAAGAATTGACTTCATTTACATTAGTGTTGAACAGAATCCGAATCTAGTTCTTTATGCTGAGTGACAGCAGAAGATTTCCAAACTGGTTTCAGGTTGATGAATGCATCTCTTCATCTCATCTTCATCCATTCCGACTGCCAGTGGTTGAAACGATGCTTCCTCGACAGATAAGTGAAGGAAGTAACCTCTGTGAAATTTCTCCCTTTGATGATGATTGGTTTCGGTTGTTGTTGTTGCTGTTCGTTGGTTATCTTCATCACCTTCGTCTTCTATGTGTTCATCACTTGAAGTCTTTGTCTTCTCTACCAGTCACTTCGGCTAGTTTGTTGGTTTTCGCCAACTGCAAGTTTTCGAGTTTGTGTGACATTAAACATAGATCATCCACCGCAAACTCCAGATCTTCTAGAGTCTCCTCATCAGTCGTCCAGCGTATTCCTGTCTCCTCATTCCCTCTGAATAGTCTCACGCATAATCCAGCCCACCACAATTAAGAAAATCATCGGTGACATAAAGTAGTGGCATTGTCTTACTCCTGTATTCATTTCAAAGGCTTGGCTGAGTTTTACGTTGTGAATCACCTGACATGCGGCATTTTCATGTAGCTGCAGTTTCCAAATTACTTCTCGGTTAACGCTGTCTGTCGAAGGCCTTTTGACAAGATTTTCAGCCTGGGTGGATGCCTGATTTTAATGTGGCTACGCGTACTGACCTAAGTGATTCAATTAAGAAGTTTTTAGTTGTACTTTTCTAGATAGCATCTTCAGTGCAAGCTCAATAAACAGAAACTAAACTTAGTTGAGATTAAAACGATCAATATTTATGAAAATTTACAACCAATCACAACGATTTGCGTTGTCAGAAGACACAAAACTATATCATTCATAGAGAATTCTCATAAGTTCACATCATGCTGAAGTTGGCACTGAAGATGTCGAGAAGAGGTCAGTGGGAACGCTTCAATATTAAATCGATCATAGGTGTCTGCGTTCCATCTCCCGTGTGAAGTGGTATAATAAGGTGAGCAATATTGAGGTTAGGCGTCGAGTGCTAGGTAAGGAGGGGAAATCAATAGATGAGACTGTGAAATTACATCGACTGAGATGGTTAAGACATGTGTTACACATGCCTAGTCATCGCCTTCCTCGACGGGCAATGTTAGCTGACATAGGGTCAGGCTGGAAAAGAGCTAGCATGGTGGTCAAACCAAAACATGGCACCAGTCAATGAAATCTACAACAGTTAGTCTAAGCCACGTAGGAAGGTGTAGACTTCCTAGTTGGGGTCCTCGGAATGGTAAAAACCAATGTTTGGAAACAATTGGTGACATGGCTCAAAATCGTTCTCAATGGCTGGTGCAGATGCATCCACTCCTTGTGACTTATGATTTCCAATGAAACTGTTTTGTTCTTCGTTATTACTATTCCTTTGTCTCACACCTCTGTTTACTGTCTATATTATGCATTTCTCCTACTTTCTTCTCTTGCTTTGTGTTCTACATGGAGTGTGGCGACTTGAACTGCCGCACATATGTGCAAAGTTCTATGTCGAAAACCGACCGAACGACTGAGTGAACGCAAACACATCATAGAGGTCTTATTGGCCGTGATAATTACGTAATTATCTACCAGTACGGAGAGAAGTATGGTAGGCACTCTCTGTTGGTAGTATATTTTTAAAAACTTAACACAATCGATAATTAATTTCCGACAATATTATGTAATAGAATGTATAGGACAAATAATAAACCCCAATTTATTATTAAACAAAATTAGCACAAATAAGATAAAACAGAAACAAGATATATTATTAATAAGGCAAATATGGCTTACTTCAGATACAGCATCATCAATGATATTTTCTTCTTGTTCTTCAACTGTACACTTTAATTCACCATATTTTTGTAAGTGGATACGACAACCAGGACAAAGAAATCGTAATTGTCCTAACTGATTTACGAGCGAGAGTGAGGAGGGGGTGCGAGGGAGCGGCGGGCAGTTGTAATGTAATATACAGAAGAAAAAACAACAAAAGAAATAAGAAAGGAAATTCTTGAATCTTCTCTATAACATATCCAAGTGTTTATTTTACAAGGATTTGATTGATTTCAAGTCACAGTTACAGACAGACATTATATATAGAGAATCAATGGATAGTTTGTTTCGTCTTTGGTTGAGACTCTCCATCCAGCATGAACGTATTAGATTCCATTCAGATGACCAAATGGTCAACAAACAAGCCTCATAACCTGAATGCTCAATCCCCCATGAGTTTATGGGTGCTTGCTAACGAAATTTCCCAAACTAGGAGTTAACAGCTATCCAGTACTGTCTACTTGTCTAACTGATGTCAATTTGTAATCTAAAAGAGAAGTAACTAACCTCAATTTGTGTATTATTTTTAGGATTCGATAAGAAACAAAATAATAAGCGTATTTAGTGCTTAGATTATAAAGATTTTATCATAAAAACCAGCATCAGTTAGCGAGATCAATGAAAAAGCAGGGGACACTGTCGATGAGCCACCGGATGGATATCCTGAGAAGTCGTGACCAGTGCAATCCACCATCTCTCGGCATAGAGAATGGTTATCGAGAGCATTGGTAAAGGTTAATACTGTATCACGAATTGACACAGTTATAATTCACAGAAGTTACTGAATTCCAGTTCAAGTAGCTGAATGGTCAACGAGATTGGGATCTCATCTCCAGAAGGTGCCAAGTTTGACCCCTGGTGCGGCTGTGATGTGCACTGCTGAAGAGTCCCAAAGTGGAACGAAGCATGCTCAGTCATTATTAATAACTTATTGAATGCTTCAACAATGTCTGAAGATCAAAATGATGTTATTCGTTTAAATGAAGATGCTTAGCAACGGGATCAAGTCCGCATAACTTGTCACCATCAATAATCAAAAGAGGATGCAGGTACATCCACATACGACAAGTCCCAAGTAGGATGAAACGTGCATCGTCGAATCTAGTGTCAGTCAGCGTCAACGAAAATCATTGTGGCGTGTGCTCCTGACAAGATTCACCAGTAGTATATAAAGAGACTCTCCACCGGCATAAAAACATCAAACAGCAGAGAGATAGATTCGATGTCAGAGAAAGCAAATGATACAGAGTTGCGGAGACATTTGGGAGACGTCAGTGAAAGGAACACAAAGAAACACACACAATATGAAGAAAGGCTCAGATGTAGCTGGCACAACAACACGGAAGATCTCAGCAATTTCGCTATATGGAAATACCAAATGGTGAATAAACATTCCTTTACACAAATATCTCTCATCTCCTACGGTTGGTGACACAAAATGATATTTCGTTTTCATTTTAGTAAAACGATATGTTAAAAGATGATGAAATGATTGAAAGACTAGATGAGTGTAAATGAGGGATTGAATATGTGGTTAGTATTGAGCGCGTAACTTAAGTGGTACTCGAAATTGTTCAGTCGATATATATACATATATTTATTGATAAGAATGAAGATAATTAACATGATTTCTAAGGTGTGGGGGTAGGGGATGAGGTGAGGTGGGGTAGGGTAGGGTGGAGTGTAGAGTAGAGTTAAAGTGGATAGATGATTATAAAAGACTATCCTCTTAAAAATAATAAGTGGATTAGTATTAGGTGAGAGGATTAAAGTGCAGTAGTAAATCGTGTCAATAATTAAAATTACAATGATGATGATGATAATAATGCAGAGAAGGCGAACAACGAAGTGAAGTGGAGCGAATTCAAGCGAAAAAAAAAATGAAATTTTCAGAAAAAAAAAAACAAAAAAACAAAACAACTATGGCAAAGGTAAAAGTAGAGAGAAAAAGTTTTTTTGTGAATACATAGTCATTTAGATTTTTGTGTCATATAATATTGCTAAGGAGTAGCATTCGGTTATATGTATATAAGTGGAGAGAAGGCAAAATTTTATAATTGATTCAATTTAACTCTGTAGATAACTAACTATAAAGGGATAAAATCACATGGCGTTGAGTGATCCTAACTCACAAAATTAACTTCGACATCCATTGAGGTTGTCTTTTCATTCAACCATCCACAATCGAGTAGTGTTCAACTAATCGTTTCCGCGGGATAACACTTATGACGTCAACTCCACTGGACCATGTTCAAGAGTTGATACATACCAACATGAGCATAGGTAGTAGCTCATCTTTCAAAAAGTGCTGTATCTTTTACTCCGACTCGACAGTATCAGTTGTAAGTCAGTGACCTAGAGTATTTGAAACACTTGGATAGACAACTTCTGAATGAGTACTTTAGAAGTTGTAGGATTGATCACGAGCTGAAATCAATTAGAGGACCATTGGAAACCACCATGGAATGCTGAACAGCTATTTCGTCCTACCTAGGGACTCTTCAACAGTAGGCAACCACTACTGGGGTTCGAAGCCAGGACCATAGGGTGGTGAGGCAACTCGTAGACTATTCCCCCTGTCTGCCTGTATTCGACATAGAACTTTCAACCGATGTGCGGCAGTTCAAGTCGCCACACTCCCTCCATGTAGCACACAAAGCAAGAGAAGAAAGTAGAAGAAATGCATAATATAGACAGTAAACAGAGGTATGAGACAAAGGAATAGTAATAACGGAGAACAAAACAGTTTAATTGGAAATCATAAGTCACAAGGAGTGGATGCATCTGCGCGATCCATTGAGAACGATTTTGAGTCATGTCACCAATTGTTTCCAACCATTGGTTTTTACCGTCCCGAGGACCCCAACCAGGAAGTCTACACCTTCCTACGTGGCTTAGACTAACTTTTGTAGATTTCATTGACTGGTGCCATGTTTTGGTTTGACCACCGCTAGCTCTTTTCCAGCCTGACCGTATGTCAGCTAACATTACCCGTCGAGGAAGGCGATGACTAGGCATGTGTAACACATGTCTTAACCAACTCAGTCGGTGTAGCTTCACAGCCATATCGATTGATTTCCTCTCCTTACCTAGCACTCGACGCGACTATTCACACACTGGGACCCGGTGCCAATAGTCCATAAATTCCAGCTTCTGCCAATTCGTGATATATATATTTAGCACGACCGGCAACCAGTGTCACAGGCGAGAAAACTGTCCCCTTGCCTCACTTGGTAGACACCAATGGTTACGATTTCTCACCAGAACCCCCTGGATAGGGCCAACCGCTAGTGAGAATTAGATTAACTATCAAGTTTTCGTGGTTGAACCGTCTACAAGGTCCTGGGGGTTCGAAACTCGCTACTAGGTGCGTGTACTGATGAAGTGTCTCAAACTAAGACGAAACAGCTAGCTGTCCAGTAAGTACTCTAGTGTTGATTTTCACAAATGGTTCTCTAACTGATATCAGTCTGTAATAAAAACTTGAAACAAACGAACACTTAATACTTTAGAAATGTTGTTAATTCTAATATCAAACTCATAAAAAGTAGTTTGTATTTTCTTCGGCACGTAATTTATGCGAATTATGTAATTAATATACACGTATTTTTGTGCAACACATTTCGAATAATTTGATGTCATATGTAATTATCATAGAAATTTATATGAGAAAATAAAAATAAAATAAAAAAACTTTAAGATGCGAGAAAAAGAGAGAGAGAATATAGACATAGTAGATATAAGTAGGTCAAGTTAAAAGACTAACACATTCAAGGTCAAAATAACAATAACAAGATCAATAAAACTAACAAAGAGACTGGGGAATAATAATAATAATAATAGTACATCGAGGTTGCAATCAACAAACAAAATTTACCTAAGGAAGGTTGAAATAAAAGTGATGACGAATACTTTTCGAATACACAGCTCGTAAAATTCTACAAACCTTAGGATACACACCATAGCAACACATGTTTGTTTTATATATATATAAATTTGAAAGACATTCCCACTTTGAACCATGTGTTTCGTGAATGAAAAAAATTACTCACTAATTTTACACTATTAATCTTCGTCTAAGGCTACTCTTTAGGATGTGTTTTGAATGCCTTACTTTCAGAGAAGATCGATGAACCCTTCCTATGTATTATGCATATATATGATCACGTATACATTTAAATTGATAAACACAGTGGGATGTATAGTGATTCAGCGAAGACACTCTTTTCAACAAATTTATTATCAAGCTGTATACAATAGTGTATATATGGTATATACATGAGCTTGGGATTCAAAGGCGACTTAGCTGCCGATATCATTGAAAGTAGGATTTCATAGTAACTGAGATGGACATTCCCTGCTGCATTGTTGAGCATAGCATTTTCCAGTAGACCATTACTACTACTACTCAACAACCTAAAGGACAGGATCCCGCAGTTGACCAACTCTATGAGCGTTTATCAATTCACCTGCTCGTGTAGAGCAAAGTGCATCAGTCATCCGACTCGAGTTTCGTCCAGAAGGGTGCAAGAACACCATCCTGTTGGTGGTTCCGAAGAGGTAGAAGTGGAGCAATAAGAAGAGTGATCATTGAACAACTGGTCGGTAATGATCACCCTGTCTCTACAGCCTCCACCTTTAAAGTCTTCTACGAGGTGAAAAGTAATTTGCCCAAATCCCTACATATCCGACTCATCTATGTATTGCTGAAGGAGCTTTGGCCGTCGAAACAGAAAAACCAGATGTCTGTATACAGAAAAAGTTTGTTCAACCACTCCAACTTTCACTTTCTCAATCCCTCTATGTTAAAGTATGGCAATCCTTAATCAATTTAAACAAAGCAACAACTACAGATTTTGCAGAATAAAATGGTACGATATTTTATTTCGTCGCCTTCTCTTCAGCTGCTTACAGGGCAAAAACATTATTAAATGTATCTACAATAACAATTTATCATACTTACACAGAGTTCATTTTAAACAGAAATCAATCGATCGATATACATATATATGTATATATATGCAATCTTGAACACAATTTCGAGCATTAATAATCATACAAAATGAAAACTTTTTAGTATCTCATGGAAAGGACAATACTTAAATTTTAATAGCTTTTGTCCAAATAGCTATAAACGAGCACTGGTCAAGACTTTGTACTATAGAGCGAGAAGAATATGCTCTACAGAGAAATTAGAGGAAGAATTTGAGTTTCTTGAAAAGACTTTGAAGAGCAATGGGTACCCTCAAAGGTTCATCAACAAGTATGGAAGATCTGCAGTCGCAAATGAAAAACAAATCACAGTAAGAAAAAAGCCAATCTACTTTGAGCTTGATTATAAAGGCGAAAACATTGCAGCGATGATCAACAGAAGGCTGAGTACATCACTAGCCATAGCCTATCCTGCAGCTAAGCTCGTTCCCGTCTTTCGAACAACTTGCTCTCTGGTGCAATCAAAAATCGATAGATATCCTTCTCATGTTAACTCCAACTGTATATACAAATTTACATGTATCTGCGGGAGCAGTTACATTGGAAGAACAGAAAGAAGAGCATATCTACGATTTTCTGAACATGTACCAAAAAGCTTACGTCTAAAGGGAACAAATGCTTTAGGCAGTGCCATCGCCAGGCATCTTCTTGACACGGGTCATGAGGTGGACGTGGAAAAGTCATTCAAAATTATCAATAAGCAAAAGAGTTCAATGCTCCTTAAGTTTGCTGAAGCCTTTTCCATCAAGCGCCTAAAACCTGATTTGTGCGTTCAGAAAGAAGCAGTTATCAGTCTTTCTTTGCCCTGGTAACTGGATATTTTTCATCCTAATGCGAGATACTAAAAAGTTTTCATTTTGTATGATTATTAATGCTCGGAATTGTGTTCAAGATTGCATATATATACATATATGTATATATTATTAGTGTATGTGTATATCGATCGATTGATTTCTGTTTAAAATGAACTCTGTGTAAGTATGATAAATTGTTATTGTAGATACATTTAATAATGTTTTTGCCCTGTAAGCAGCTGAAGAGAAGGCGACGAAATAAAATATGGTACCATTTTATTCTGCAAAATCTGTAGTTGTTGCTTTGTTTAAATTCATTAAGGGGAACAAATGTATGAAATCCTTAATCATTTTGGCTCTATCTATTTTTCGTTTCGTTTATTCGATTTACAAACTCTTTCTTTATTACGTTAATTGTTACTATTACTAATCTCATTTCGAATTGTCCCCGGTATTATTTCACTCGTCCCACTCATCATTCCAAATCAATTTTGTTTTGAAATGTTAAATTCTATGTTATCAAATTTCACACAATGTTACGTAACGTTTTTATTTTTATTCGATTTGTCTACTAATCCTATAATTGCACACCCCTTCCAAGTTCTATCCATCCTATGAATTATTCTATATATGACATTAATTGTTTTGCCACTTGACATTTAACTATGATTATAATCACAAACATTTTAGTTTTAATTGCATTTCATACTATTATTATTATTTTATGCATTCACACCTATGATTCAATTCCCTCACCAGATATAATTTCTTAGAAAACCATGTATATACGTTTGTCCAGGTTGACAATCAATTCGTTGTTGGAAACTGTCTCTTCGCTGATATGATTTTCTCTATGTCCCAGTGAGAATTTTCCATGAATTAAATAAAGAGGGATGTGACATTTTATGGGTTTAGGTAGAGGCTTCATGTTCCCCATTATATGTACACATCTTAGCCTCACAAGGTCTTTTTGACTGCAGTCTTCTCTACTGTCTCTCTAATTATTCAGCTAATATGATCCCTGATGAACAATAGCCCGGTGGATATACAGCCATTATAGCGACAAGTTGGAAAACAGACTTTGATGTGTTTAACCATTTTATATCGTTCGATGAACTTTTCTCTGGGTAATTTATTTGCAACCAGAGTTTCTGTCAGGTATATTTATAAGGATATGCAATATCGTTAACAATCAACTTATAACTGAATTTGAGTAGTAGGTTAAAAAAAGTTGGTTACAGGATTTCATCATGAGCTGATATCGGTTAGAGAACCATTGGAAAACCTGTCAGGGAGTACTGGACAGCTGTTTCATCAGCCTGGTTTGGGAATCTTCATCAGTACGCACCCGCCAGGGTTCGAGCCCAGCACCTTCTGGTTAAAAGACTAGCGAGGTCGTAGACTATTAAGCCACTGGGATCCGATCCAATGGCCAGCCCATGAATTCCAACTTCTGCCAATTCACGACAAAGCGCGACCACTAGCCAATGTTTTCAGCGAGTATTTATCCTCACTACCGACCTGCTGCAGCCTACTGGTCACGACTTTTCACTAGAACCCCAGGTAACTACCTACCTGAATAGGGCAAGTCACCAGTGAGCATCTCTCCTAAAAACGAAAGGGATGATATGAGACTTTGGAAATTAGCACATGTTGATGAAGAGGTTGCGATGTTAAAGGAACTGTTTAGTGGAGATATGAACACATTGATGGAGGTTAGCAAACTAGTGGTATGGCGTGACCTACTGACGAGATTTATCAGTAGTATATGGAGAGACGTTCATTGGTGCACAAACATATCAGATAACGGAAAGGGAGAGATTGGATGTCAAAGAAAGAAAATGGACTAGGGTTGCGATAAAGCTTGGGCGACACGAAAAGAAGACAAAGAAACACAATACGCGAAGAGCAGAAGTAGCGCTACATGGATGATATGTGAAAATGAGTACATAATTTCCCCACATGTGTATATCAAATGCGCAATAAACACTCCGTCAACAAGTCTCTTGTCTTTTCCCGTTATTGTGGGACTCTGAAGACCGACGTTTATCGCATTTCCAGGTGAAACAACACAAGGCTTCAACAGCACATCTCCATTACACAATGTTCCCTGTGGGTATTTTTAACTAGCTCCAGGATTGTGTATAGGCTATCATTTCCTCTTTGTTCAATCTCCTCCATGACATCCTCGTTTCCGTCGCCAACTTTACGCTAGCCGGTTCAACAACTGGTACATAAAGGAAACGTTGGGTGTGAAGCTAGCGTATTCCTACCCTAGAAAATCGATATAATTACTACAGAAATGTGTTTAAGGAAATATATAAATTAAATTAACATAAGTTACAAAGGGAAGACTAACCATATTAATGTCATTTTTATATTTATATATACATATGCCTATATAAGTAGTATATAAACCTACCAAAGGTGGTGGAGGACTATCTTCTGACGACAACAACTCTGCACTACAATTCCGACACAAACGTTTACGAAGTCGACTAGTTGACGCAGAATCAGTATTCCCATCCACTGTTGTCGTTGTTGTTGTTGAAATCGTTGTACCGTCTTCATTTTTCTCACCAGAATTTACTGGAACGTCAACAGCGTCATCAGTACCAGCATTCGCTGTTAAATATATGCAAATGAAAATATGGAGAATAAAAGAGACCAATTTCAAAACAAAAACAGTTGATTCTTAAAAATAAACAATGCGTTCCATATTAGTTTGTTTATTAGATGTATCACACAGTCAGTGAAACAGTATTATTTACTGGATGACACAGTTTCGAACAAAATTTATTGTTCATAATCATATCATCAATTATAATCACACGACTTTGAAACTTGAGTTTTATAGTTTCCTTTGTCATCTCTTATTTGTCGTAGGAGTTTGTGGGTTTGAATGCTTAGAAACAAGCTTTGTCGGTTAAAGGATCAATCCTGTGGAGCCTTTAAAACAAAACAATTCAGTTTATCTAATACCCCACCTGCAATGATTGTCAGGTCAAACTAGTAGAACAGGGGCAGTCGGATTAACGGAACATAAAAACCCAGCAGCTAAATCTAGATTAGTTGACCCGAACTAGATAAGAAATCTGGAGAACAGTTCAGCTATAGCACTACATGCGATCACACATAACCATACAATATAATGGGATAGGATGACAGTTTTAAAATATAATATAACAGGGTGGAGGGAGAGATTGATAACAGAAGCTTGTAACTGGAAGGTCCTGGGTTCAAAACCCAGTGGGTACGTACTACCGATGATTCCCAAACTAGGATGAAACAGCTGCCCAGTACTCCAGTGCTGGTTTTCAATGGTTCTCTCAGTGGTATCAATCTGTGATCAACTCGTAAAAACAAAACTAACCCTTACAAACCAACTATAGAAAAAAAACCATTAATATTGTTAACAACTCTAATTCTTTCATTATTATGGATGGATATATAACTATAGAACCTGATGATGAAGATCAGTTTATCGAAAAGAATATTCTCTACTGAGTAACCACCAGTCCTATTGATAATTCAGTGTATTATTGATGCAAGAAAGTACTTTGATGGTTGAAGAGAACAAGATTAAATTTAAAAAAATCACACTCAAGCACAAGAATTACGTAATACTGTCATTGTCTTTCTGACTAATCCATTAAAGTATGTGAAAACTTTGTGTAATAACAATAACAGTGGTGATAAATTAATCATTTTTTCTTGCAAACCGTAATAATTAATACAGAATGGAATTTTGTACATATTGCAACAATTTAGTTCCTTATTCATTTATATATATAGTAAATAAGAACGACAAGAACCGAAATTTAGCGGAATGTAATGATAAATAAATAAATGAATAAATATTTTTAGTAATAATAATAATAATTCTGGTTATAATTTGCTGTTTATTTACTGACTGCAAACGTTTCTACGCTTTTCTCTGACATTTGTCTCTCCTTACACAAACACACAAAACCCTTGCTAAATATGGTGGTATGCTTGAAATTTTATATTTAACCCAATACAAGCATAAATTCTGATTGAATTTCTTCTGGTTTTACCCGCACAGAGATACAAGAAGAAAGTTGTGGATAGCAAAGAGGATTCCATATGAGTTTGTTTATTAAATGTATCACACAATGAAACAGTATTATTTACTGGATGACACAGTTTCGTTATCCTATCCCATCCTATTGTATGGTTGTCTGTAACTGCATGTATTGCTATAGCTGAACTATTCTCTAGATTTCTTATCTTATTCACGTCAACTAATCTAGATTAAGCTGCTAGGTTTTTATGTTCAGCTAGTCTAACTGCCCCTGTGTTCTACTACTTTGACCTATGTATTATTTGACCTGACAATCATTGCACGCAGGGTATTAGATAAATTGAATTGTTTTGTTTTAAAGGCTCCACAGGATTGATCCTTTAACCGACAAAGCTTGTTTCTGATAGAGTTTGTGGGTTTGAATGCCAGCCAATTTTATTCCTGCCCTCTTAAGAATTCTGCGTAAGGTGGTTTTCGAGGTTCCTTCTTTGTATGGAGTTACTACTGATGATTTAGATTCCATATTGTTGGTGCTATCTTGCGCATGTTTGACATGCATGTCGTCATTAATATTACTATTATTATTATCATTATTATCACTATCACTACTATCATTATTTATTTTACTTTTACATTTCCCAACATACTTTTTGACTAATTTATCACAGTAACTATTAAGTTTCAAAGCTTCTTTTATACGCTATACATATCCTGTCTTAGGTTGTCCTTGGTACTACTTAGTTTTTGTGCTCTATTATTTAAACATTTCACCAATCCTATATTCACTGACATAAGATGGGATGATCGGAAGTCCAAATATCGGTTTGAATGTGTGGGTTTCCTGTAAACACACACTAGTGTTTAACTTCCCTTCTTTTTTCTTTTTACGCTGCAATCTAACACTGGAAGCTCCTCATCCTGTTCGAAACGTCATCCAGTAAATAATACACCTAATAAACAAACTAATATGGAATTACTACTACATTGCCCAAGTTTTACACATATAGCAAAGAGGATGCTCAGTATCAGATAAGATGTCTCTAGCCAAGTGTTGGCAAGAATTAAAATAGCCTGCCCATATACAAGAACAAGGTCAGTTGGCTGAGTCAAAGGTGCTCACCACTAACCCTGCCTACTTACAGCCCTTAGTGTTCCACATAATATATGACAGCGTCGTTTTTGAGAAAAGTCCAGGGAAGAATAAGAGAGAACAACAAAGACGAAGAATGAAAGGGAAAACATGAATCAATAAATTGTAAGAGAAGACGTTGAGAGTTATGTCAGCAGAAAGTTTCAACTTCTTTATGTAATAAGTCAAACGAAAAATCTTCCTAGAAATCAACAGGGGTTATGAGATGACCAACAGAGGTTTGAAGAAAAACTGATGCTGGGGTGAGAGATATTCAATTTACTCTTTATGATCACAATGCAGTCAATATCACAGGAATCATGTCTGTCTGTCTGTCTGGATTCAACATAGAACTTGGCACCGAAGTGCAGCAGTTCGAGTTGCCACGTTCCAAATAGGACACAAAGGTAGACAAGAAGATGGATGAGTGAAGAGAATCAATAGAGTTTTGACAAGTATAAGAGTGAAACAGGATGAGTAATGGTAGAAAGGAATATGAAGGTTAAAGAGACTGAATACATCTGCGTAAGCCATTGACAACGATTTTGAGCCATGTCACCTATTGTCTCCAGCCATTGATCCTTAGAATCCCGAGGGCGGGCCCCGACCCGGAAGTCTGCATCTCCCTACCTGACTCAGTTTAACTGTCAAGGATTTCATGGATTGATGAGGCCATGTTTTTGTTTGGCCACCACTTACTCTTTTCCAACCTGCACCTACCTATATCAGCTAGTAATGCCCGTCCGTCGGGAGAGGCGATGGTTAGGCATGTGCAGCACGTGACCTTTCCATATCAATCTATGTACCTTTATAGCCTCTTCGATTGATTTTCCCTCTTTGCCCAACACTCTACGCCTAACGTCAACATCACTTACCTTATTATGCCACCTAACGTGAGAAAGAGATCGTAGACATCTATGATCAAAAAGAAGTAGAGCGCTTTCCATCTAAAACAGTACATTGTTTCATACCAGTAGAAAAAAGGAAGGCAACTACCTTGTGTTGTAGTATGAAGTTGAATAAGAGCCAACAAAATAAGGTAACATCAAAGAAGATAAACCCAACGCAATTTTTTCTCCTCACTTTTTATTGAAAAATCACTGAGTTTAACACAAACTGTCATCTACACAGGACACCTAAAATTCATGATCAATTAAATGAATACAATATTTTCATCTGGTTATGTTTTCTGAGGTTAGTGGTTGATTTAATTGGGAAGCTTTCTTTGTCCAGATATCACTTCAGTGCAGGCTTTAACATATAAAGTGAACATATTTCAATTCTTCATGAATGATGACGCAATTTTGTTTCCTCTAACAACCATTTTTGTGATTTAATTGAATTTTAGATTTCCTCGTCGATTGATTGGACCGAAGTGCTCGGTTTCAGGTTGACACGTCAGCTTCTTGTAAAGATACTTCGACGATGTCCGGGCATGTAATTAGAAGTTAATTGGCATATGGTGACTTGCAGTGGAACATCACTCATAGCAGAATGCAGGCACATCCACTGACTGATGAGTCCTAAATAGGACGAAATGCGCGTTATCCTGGTGGATTCCACTGCTAGTCACCATCCACCAATTAACATTTTTGTGATTGGTTGTCAACTTACATTGATGATTTTTATTGGCTTGGAGCTTGAACTTTCCTGTCATGTGATGATTTACTTGTTATTAACTGGTTAATTTGATCTACAGTAGTAAAAAACGCTCAGTTACCGGTGATTCATTTGAGAACCAGACTTCTAGAATTTCCCTGACATTCTTGGTGTTTCATTAATCCAATCGGTGTCCGTGATTGCCAACATACATTGATATGAAACAGGAATACATTTTGTGTCTTTTCACATCTAATTTATGATCATAGATTCTCATTCGCAGGGGACACTAACTTTGACCAATGTAGTATTTATTGCAGTCTATGCATGCAATTTATTTTGTAGACGGTGTGTTGATCTTATCCTCCCTTTGCTGTTGGTTTTGGATCTTTTCATCTGCACAATATTGAATGATTGAGGTGAATGATTGTGTTAGTTGGTTTCTGTGCTTCTGTGTCTATTTCATCAAATGGTCTTAACATTCTAGCAGCTGTTAAATCATCAGAGATATTCTCTACACAAGGGTAGGACGAATTTTCTTGTGGTTTTTTGAGGATAGTTTCTTGTTGGTATTTCAGTTGAAATTGTATGAGTATTCATTCTTTTTGAAGAGAGTTTTAAGTAGATATTTCTCGTCTATTCTCTTCAGCACTGGAGAAGTACTACAGTACTCCCGACCGAAAGCTGCTACCTTGACGTGGTGGTCGGGCTTGAACACCGCAAGCTATACTGGCTGAGACTTATGTCGCTTGAGGTCCTACCATGCCAGAAAGGTTGTTTGGATAGCGGATAGACAAAAAGCAATTACCCAACCCAATGCTATGACTCAAAGTAAATCACAAAATATCATACCGGATCGGTAGGGGCCCGGATTTAGTCAATGTTTGTACACAGTTTCTTTTGTGACCTAACATAACACACAAATGTCCTACTACTGTGGTGAGAGCTGTCTGCTAGCCGAAGATGTAGACAACAATTTACGTCAATGTTTACGTCCCAAATCGGGTTCAGGAGATCAAAACAATAACAAAGCCTAACCTTGGGAATCTCAACGACCAATCACAGCAGACTTAACGTGGGCGGATACGATTCGCAGATATATCACCGGACTGTCTAAGAAACGACAACAAAGAGATGACAGAATAACCTTCAGCAGGAAAACAACCAATCAGAAGACGTTGCTTCTCTGCGAACAACAACGAATAATAGTGTACATAAATATATCTGTTGATTTTCTCAAAAAACGATCTGTTGCCTGGCCCTTGTCTTCTGTTGTTACACTACTACTACTACTCAATATGTTGTGCTTTATACTTTATTCGAAAATCACTCAGTTAAACTTCATGGCCATCTCAAACAGGACATTTAAAAAAAATAATCCACGATCCATTAAATAAATATATAAAATAAAATAGACAGATGGAGTTGTGACGGGGAGGTGGGGGCGAGGGAAGCGCGGTTGGTCACAAAAAAAAAACACATTGACAAATAAAATCGACCAACACACTTACTTGTCTCAAAATTCTCTTCAACTTCTGATTCCGGTTGACTAGGTCCCACAGATTCTGATTTATCATCACCGGTTTGTTGTGTTAAACTTTGATAATTCACTTTGAAGGTGACGGGGTGGTAAATATAACAGGGCGATGATTGTTGTTGTTGTTGTTTTCAAATAAAATAGACAAACAAGTGTATAAGCATGAATAAGCAAGTAAACAAAGCAAGAAAGGGAATAGAAATAGCGGATGCTTATTGTGAATATGAACAGTTAAATACTTAAAAGTTTCAAATACTCTAAAATTATTTTGCTATTTTTTTTTAAAGAATTTAAGAAATCTTAAATGGTGATCGGATTTTTATTTATGCGAAGAAGTCATAGATCCTTCAGTTTAGTTCACTCTGTCCTCCTCCTCCTCACTTATGGCTATGAGACAGGGTCACTGAAAGTGAAAAATATGAAAAGGCCAGTTGTCTTTAACCACCTGTTAAAAATGGTACAATGTTGGTGGATTGTGACTAGCAGTGGAGTAATCCAGTATAACGTGCATTTCGTCCTATTTGGGACTCGTCATCTTGACGTACCTGCATTTCTCAGTGAGTGATGATGTTCCCACCGAGGCTCAAACCCAGTGCCTATAGTTTCAAACACCAAAGTGTTATCCACTAGACCAATTGGGCCAAGAGAGCCACCGCTTGTGCAACAGGTCATATTGACCGAAGTGCTCGGTCTCAGGTTGACATGTCGGCTCCTTGTGCAGATGCTTCGACGATGTGTGGGCACGTAATTAGAAGTTAATTGGCAGATGAAGACTTGCAGTGGAACATTATCACTCATAGAGGAATGCAGGCACATCCACTGGCTGACAAGTCCCAAATAGGACGAAATGCGCGTTATCCTGGTGGATTCCACTGCTAGTCACCATCCACCATTACATGCCGAGACATCGTCGAAGCATCTGCACAAGAAGCCAACATATCAACCTGAGACCGAGCACTTCGGTCCAATCAATCGCAAGGGGAAAATCTAGAATTGAATTAAAATGGTATATGTCGAGTAATATACTGAAGTTAGACGTAGAGTCCTAATTGAGGAGGGTAAGTGAAGCATCGCATCATCGCATTCCGAACCACCGCCTTCTGCATCCATCAATGTCGACTAACAACATAGGAATAGGTTGTAAAAACGTTAGGGGTGGTAAAAGCAAGATATCTCATCAATCCATGAAGTTCTTGACATGTAGGGAAGTGTAGACTATCTGGTTGGGGTATCGTGGGGGGGATGCTAGGAATCAGTGTCTAGAGACTGTTGGTGATATAAGTAAAGTCGTTCTCAATGGCGTAGATTCATTCACTTTTTGTAATCTGCCAGATCCAATAAACCGTCATCCTACGTGTGTTACGTGATGTATGGCAACTTAATTGCAATTCTGTGCAGAGTTCTGTGCTGAGATTCAGTTAATTACAACGGTTAAGTGTATGTTCAACTGGGCTGAGATCTGAACATAATATGGGAGACAAAATAAAGTCCACCCAATAACAGGTTGAATATTTACACAATACCTACCTAATTAACAGAGAGGTATATACAATACTGATATGCATATATTAGGAGAATTGTTCAACACTATAGTCCTATACTCTATCTGGACCAAATTGATGCATAATCATTATCATTTGAATTACTATTATTAAAGAAGGGACTAGACGCGTCACACTAGTTACTAGTGTCCAATCAAAGTAACCAATATAGTCCTACAGGAGGTCAATCGCAAGCTCGAATAGCTAACTCAGTGGTAACGTCTCTGACTGCAGCAGTCACTGAGTGACACGGGTTCGAATCTCAGAAGGGACATGAGTTCCTTCAAGGCAGTTGCAGATATGCCTTGCTGACTGACTGGTGAGTGCCAACTAGCACAAAACCTAGGTCATGAAAGGCTTCCTGTGGCCGATTGCCTCCAACTATCTAATATCATCAAATACTCTAATGTATTTTAGATGTTTTGAGGTAATCGGCAGGAAACATCCAAACCTACACTGAATACTTCCTCCCCTTTTTCTTCCTTGGTTGCAGTCGTCTAGCATCCGTTCAAAGTACACCGAGATAGTGTTTTTATCTAACTTGGTGATCATAATGTAACCATGAGAGACAGAATTTAATGAATACCGAGGACTAGTTCCTTCACCTTAGTGACTAATCATCAATGATAGTATAAATATAGAGGTGATGTACTTTTGCTAAGGAAAGAGTGAGATTTCTTGAAGAACATTAAACAAACAACTCACTGTAACTTTGGGGGAAAAAATATGCATACAAATAACCTCTACACACACATATCAGAAAACTGAAGGCAAAAAAATACTCGACACATTAACTAGAAATTTCGCTTGGAGACAAAAAACACAAAAATAAAACAGTGAAGCCAAAATACACAGACAGATACAAGAAAAAATAGATAAATTAAACAGACCAGTATGGAAGAATTTTTCACTACCATTTACCGGGTAATAAATAAATAAATAGATTACCAAAACATCAGTCACTCTAGGTAGTGAATATACTTTAAACTGTAGAAGCCATTGCAATTCACTTAAGACAACAGACCCAACCATTTTGGTGGTTGTAACACGTCATACCTTTAAGTATGACCTTTCATTCTGTAGGTATAAGTTACAAAACACCCCCCCCCCCATTATTATTTTACTTGTATAAACAAACGTTTTGTTTACTTAATTTTAGCCTTAACAATTCACTAACATGCCAACACACACACGAATGTATGTTTGTTTTTATAATAACATTCATCCATATGAATTATTTTCCTTGTCGATTGATTCGATCAAAGTGCTCAGTCTCAGGTTGACATGTCGGCTTCTTGTGCAGAATGTTTCGACAATTTTTGGTCATGTAACTTGAAGTCATTTGGTGGATGGTGACTAGCAGTGGAATCCACCAGGATAACGCGCATTTCGCACTATTTTGGACTCGTCAGTCAGTGGATGTGGTGCTTGCATTCCCCAGTGAGTGATGGTGTTCCCACCGAACCTCGGACTCAGTGTCCGTAGTTTCAAATTGAATTAAGTGATCAATATGACCCGTTGCACAAGAGGTGTTCTAGTGGCCCAAATGGTTTCGTGGATAACGCCTTGGTGTTTGAAACTACGGAGGAACTGGGTTCGAACCTCGGTGGGCTTATATTATTATTATTTAAACGCAGAAAAACTTGGTACAATATGGCACCAAGAAAGATGCGCCACACAATATTGAGTGAGGGCTGAGATACTGCCCGGGCTATCAGACCGAAGCAGGTGGTTTTCCTAAGGGACCACCCCCCGAGCCTTTGACTTGGAGTCTAATCCGCAAGGCAGCGGAGCAGCGTCAGGAGCTGCGTTCCCATGGTTGCCGGCGACCCATATGGGTTCATACGCCATTTGATCCGATTGAATTCTGGAGCCAATGTACCCCATGGTAACTGCTTTTAGTCTAACCGCTATCAAAACAACCTTCCTGACATGGTAGGACCTGTAGAGACAGAGTCCCAGTCAGTTCAGCTTCTTGGGTCATTGCGGTATTTAAGCCCGACCACCACGACAAGGTAGCAGTTATCGGTGGGCGCAACACTATCCACCATTCACTGGGGAATGCAGGTAAATCCACTGGTTGACGAGTCCCAAATAGGACGAAATGCACATCCTGGATTCCACTGTTAGTCACCACCTACCAATTGAATACATGCATATGAAGTTTATAATTAGTATGAATAGAAACTCAATGTGAACATTAATCATGAGCATTCACTATTACTGCTATTGTATATTCGTTGTTACTCATCATGTTCAATTTACTATTACACATTTATGCATATTATCACACACGTACACACAGGTATGTTTTGAACTATTATCTAGTTAACAATCTTAACATGATGTGTTTTTGTAGGAATCTGAATTTCGAACCCAGGACTTCCCGATTACAAGGCAAGCACGTATACCATTCAGCCAGTGGGGCCCAACTCCTCAATGACCAGTCCATGAATTCCAACTTCAACCAAATTATGATATTTAGCGCAACTGGCACCAACCAATGTCATCGGTGGGAAATTCGTCTTTACACTTGACTGGTTGGACCTCACTGGTCACGACTTCTCACTGGAACTGCAGGAAACTCCGTCCTGTAGCAAGTCACTAGCCAGCATCAGATTAATTTTAAACAGTTGGTGTGTAAGGGTTAAATTTTTTTTCTAGTTTGACCACGGGTTGATATCAGTAAGAAAACCACTGAAAACCAGCGCTGGAGTACTGGACAACTGTTTCAGCCTAGTTCACGGACTCTTCTACAGTGACTACAACAGTGGGATGAAACTCCGGACCTTTAGGTTACCACGTCAAGCTTGCTCACCATTCATTCAGCCAGTTGGACTAGAACTCAAAGACCCATAAATTCGTGATATAAAGCTACCCACAGTTCATAATTCCGATGAGAATTCATTTCATTCACCTGACAAGGTGGACCCCAAAGGATTTACGACTTCAGGAAATCCATCCAGTAGCCATCAAAGAGGTGGAGATCGATATTTCGATTACGGGATTTTATAAGGATATGAATTAATTCACTGGTCATTATTGAATTCCTGCCAAAGTGGCTGAATGGCTAATAAGTTTGGTCGCACAACCTAATAATGCAAGGGTTCGATTCTTGGTGAGGTTGTTGGTGCATACTGCTGAAGAGTCGCCAAACAACTGTCCAGTGCTCCCTCGCTTTGAATAATCTCTAACTTATGCTGAAATCTACATTAACTTTAGGAATTTATCTTCACATATGCATACTTCTTGGAATTTTAGATATCTCAGTGATTTTATGTTATTAGCGGAAACAAAAACATTCATGTTGTCAATAACAACAACAACAATAATAATTCTTTGATTATTTTATGGATGCATGTAGAACATCTGATGAAGAAGCCGAAGAAGTGACGAAAATAAATTTATTCCTTATTCATTCACTAAGCAGTCTTTCGGAACTCATTATAACTCATGAAAACCTATACACAGATACATAAACTAGCAAATAAACAAAAAACAATGCTTGGTAAATTAAAAACAAAACACATTAAAATGAAACAGCGAAACAAATATACACAGATACAAATAGAAAAAAATATAAACATAAAATGTACTTACTCAAGTGATGGTTGTCTGTTAACACTCACTCACTCACTCACTCACTCACTCACTCACTCACTCACTCACTCACTCTCACTCACTCACTCACTCACTCACTCACTCACTCACTCACTCACTCACTCACTCACTCACTCACTCACTCACTCACTCACTCACTCACTCACTCACTCACTCACTCACTCACTCACTCACTCACTCACTCACTCACTCACTCACTCACTCACTCACTCACTCACTCACTCACTCACTCACTCACTCACTCACTCACTCACTCACTCACTCACTCACTCACTCACTCACTCACTCACTCACTCACTCACTCACTCACTCACTCACTCACTCACTCACTCACTCACTCACTCACTCACTCACTCACTCACTCACTCACTCACTCACTCACTCACTCACTCACTCACTCACTCACTCACTCACTCACTCACTCACTCACTCACTCACTCACTCACTCACTCACTCACTCACTCACTCACTCACTCACTCACTCACTCACTCACTCACTCACTCACTCACTCACTCACTCACTCACTCACTCACTCACTCACTCACTCACTCACTCACTCACTCACTCACTCACTCACTCACTCACTCACTCACTCACTCACTCACTCACTCACTCACTCACTCACTCACTCACTCACTCACTCACTCACTCACTCATTCACTCACTCACTCACTCACTCACTAATACTGACAGACACAGGGCATAACCAGACAACTAATTGAATAATAATAAGGCAGCAACACTTAACATGTAGAAAGCCAGTCAAATATACACAAATATCTACACCGTAGGTATACACATATAAACATATATACACATATACACATTGATTTATACATCAAGTAGAGTAGTACCAGTTGTTTGCTGTTGACCTCCTCCTCCACCATCAGCACCAACACCTTTCTCCGCTTTCAATGTTAATAATCTGCGCAATTCATATTCCGCCGCTTTACGATATTCAATGATACCAAGCCAAGCTTGTTTAGTGACTAGATTATGTATATATGTATGCATACATATATGAGTGTATATTATTTCATGATAAATAACCAAGGAAAAAAAATGCAAATTTATAAGATTGATAAAATGGACTATATAAATAATACAGTTAAATAAGTGAATATTCGAGATTGACCTCGAATTGACTTCAGTTACAGAAACCAGTGGAAACAACTACCAGCTATTTCGTCCTTGTTGTTTTTTGGACTCTTCAGCATCATGCACCCCACCCTTAAGGGATTGGACCTAAGACCTTTGGGGTTACAAGACGAGCTCGTAGACCACTGAGCTACTGGGACGGAATCTAATGGCCCGTGAATTGATAACGGATGTGGGGAGGAAGAGAAACTCTTGAATACAAACTTACACACAACATCTGAAACTACGGTATTACACCATGGACGTCAATCAGTCATCAAATGATAATACATCAACATTTGAGTACTCTATAATAATACCATTTAATATGCGTGTATGTATGTATGTATGTAAGTCACACTTGGAAGGAGAGAAAGAAAAGTATGCAAAAATGGTGGCACAAACACAAACATGAAATTCATAAAGCAGAAGATTTTTTGCACCTATTTCCTTCCTCTACCTTCGATAGAATTCCAAGCTCAATTTTACCAATATTTTGTTATGAGTAATTATTTTCCGTATGACAATTATTAACATCATATTCTTCACTTAATTGTTTCGCCCTTGTTGTTTGGGTCTCTTCAGCATTTAATTTAACTTATTTATTTATTTATTCCTTTGTGTTCCAGCTTGAGCTTTCAAGTTTCAGTAGCAGTGGCGAGGCAAAGGATCACATTGTCCGGGGGTCGAACCCCGAGCCACATACAAGATTGGCGAACAAAGCCCACAACGTCAACAGCAGCATTATGCATCTATGACCCCACACACACACACATCAACGGTCGGACCCGAGACTCTTAAGGCTACAAAACGAGCTCGTAGACCACTGAATCACTGGGACGGAATCGAATCGCCCAGGAATTCCAAATTCTATCAATCCACGATTTTTAGGGTGACTGACAATAAGTCAACAATGTCATCGGCAAGTATGCCTCATCCCCCCCACACACCCCACTAATTGGTGGACCCACTCCATTGGTCACCACCACCACCATCTTACTAAAACTGTGGACAACTTTGTCAAATAGCCAGTCACTGCTAGTGGACATCAGATACTTGTCTATTATATGCTGTCTTCATTAATACCCCATTTTTTTCTGGACTTCTTTATCACATACTACGCAACTGTCTAGTCTAAACGTTACTAATCTTCACCTATTCCCCCCCTCCCTCCTCCGTAGAGTCTTCTCTGTTTTGAAATATTTTATTGATGTAAACAATACTTTAAACTAAATTGCTTTCGTTCTACTGTTATGTTTCACAGACTGAGTGAAAACAGACACACACACACACACAAATAATTATATATACACACATACATATATTTGCGACTGTTCAGCCAAATGAATTAATCTCTCGAAAAGAGTCTCTTCGCTCAAGTGTTTGTCCTTTTTCCTTGTCTGGATATATCGTATTGATCCAGTGGAAAAATTAACAGTTGAGTTGTTTCGAATTACTTACTTACAAAAAAGATCGCAAATTTAAAAGTAGCCTGAAAAGAAAATCTAATTCTTGAAAATCGTTGCTACCATTTACAGACGATTGAAGCTCACTAACACAATTACTCTGGGAAGGGTATACTATTATGTATTACTCACAAGACTAAGTGCTAGGCTTATTGTGTGTGTGTGTGCATATATGAAGGCTGGTGATACTGTCCAGTTTTATCCATGCTATAAAGGCAGGTGGAGAAGGACTTGAACACGAGCCCGACCGATAGCTGCTACCTTGACGTAGTGGTCGGGCTTGCATATCGCGATGACCCAACAAGCTACACTGGCTGGAACCAATGTTCCTGCAGGTCCTATCATGCCAGGAAGGTTGTTAGGATAGCGATTAGACTAAAAGCAGTTACCGGCATAGTGTAAGAATCTTTCTTACGCTATGCTGGGGGTCTGTGGGCGAAGTCGTACTGCTGGGGAACAGGGGTGTAACAGCAGTGAGGTGTTTCCCTCAGATGACCAGCATGCCAGCCAACTAAGCTGTCTCTCCACTCTGGAGAGAAGGGGTCAGAAAAAGTCAACTCCAAAAATTGTACATCCCGACTTAACCTACGGTGGTCTGTTACCGGCGGTAAGTTTACTAGTTCGAAACTAGTTCGTACAGGCCGTATGTGACCGGTCTCAAGCAGTTGACCCAAGGGCTCTGTGGTCACGCAACATTAACCCTCTCTCTGTTTCAGGTACCCGAAGAATCAACCAACTTCCACGGTGCGGGCAGCCGGGAAGTAACAACCGCCCACACTTCCAAAAGCACACGAAGCCTTCCTGAACACGAGACCTATTGGCTGAGAGCTTGAAATTTTTTGGTTCATACTGCAGAATTTCGGCCCGATAGACAAGACCTCTAGTTGTATAGGAGGTAAAGTTATTGAAGAATGATTGAACACAAATTTATCAGGATCTTTCGAAAACTTGCGTCGTATTTCAGTGGCTTTTGTGCGCTTCTCCATAACCATACGCATATACTCAGTGAAAGCTTGGCGTTCATCACTTGACAATTCACATAACGCAGATGATCGTTGTGCTATGTTTCTCTCCAGTTCTGGGACACATGAAAGAATGGAATCGATGTGGTTCAAAGTTTGACGTTTAAGAGATTTGGAGTTAAGACAAATATGATTGCGACGAAGAGCTTCCCAATAGCACTTCGAGTATCTATAGTGTTATTTATGCAATCTCTGAGAAACACACAGGTCTTCGCATTCACTTCACAGCAAGCTTGACAGAACAGCGCAGAAACCCACTTAAGTTCCTTCAATATCAAAGAGTCCTTGCTAATTTTTAATAATTCACAGAAAATACCCATCCAGACATGAATATGAGAAGAAAAATATTCAGCGAAGAGTCTCTTTTCGGGGAATTCATTTGCTTAGCTGTACAATCGCATTTATATATCATTATTTTGTGTGTGTGTACATTAGGACTGTCAGACAAAAAGTAAAATTAGTTAGCGTTATTGTGTTTATGTTATCAAAATGTTTGCAAAATGTGATGAGTTATCAAAATTGTAACGATTGGTAAGTATTGACCAGGTTGCGTAATATGAAATAGGATGTTAGTGGAGAAAGAAGCTATTGGGAAGCTTTTCGTCGCAATCATATTTGTCTTAACTCCAAATCTCTTAAACGTCAAACTTTGAACCACATCGATTCCATTCTTTCATGTGTCCAAACTGGAGAGAACATACCACAACGATCATCTGCGTTATGTGAATTGTCAAGTGAGGAGCGCCAAGCTTTCACTGAGTGTATGAGTATGGTTGCGGAGAAGCTCACAAAAGCCGTCCATTCAAACCTATGAAGTATTCTTAATGCTTAAGCCAACGATCCACAAACTTTCAGAATGACAACAGAAAGTAATGCATATTTCAAGTCTTCCAGTATGTCACAAAATTGCGGGTGATTGAAGGCAGTCTTCCTGTATTACATGCTTTGAAGCAATCGGCAGCAAGACTAAGGTCTAGGTTTCGCGCTAGTCACAGCAAGGCGACATACTACACGCAAGTTACTAACTAGTATCTAGTCAAAGTGTCCAATGCAGTTCCATAGGAGGTCAATCGCAAGCCCAAATAGCTCACTGGTGGTGACGTCTCTGAGTGTAGCACTCATCACTGTGTGACACGGGTTCGAATCTCAGAAAGGCAATGAGTTCCTTCTGACTGATGAGTACTAAGAAACACGAAACCTAGGTCTACAGGGCTTCCTGTGGCCGATTGCCTCCAATCATCTAATATCAACAATTCACAGTGCGCCGTGATGGTGAGCCACCTAGTGACATGGTGGCCACATTGCAAACTTGACTGATTGAACTCAGTCTGTACCAAACTAGTGTCCAATCAAGGTAGTCTTCCTACTTTGCAACAAGTCAATCAGTTAGAAGGAATCCAAATCAAGTACTATCTGATTCCTTTACAGACAGGAACAAAAGAGAGTATGTGAAAGTAGCAAACGTCTAGTACTTCGCATAATCCCCCTCCCCAAAATGGATTAGATTTCGGGATGATCAAAATCTAGGATGCAAGCATTATGCATAAATCCATTATCTGAACTCCACCAAAAACAGTCGATGCATTAGGGATTTGAAAAATATCAATTCACTATGATCGCCCCCCCCCCCCACACACACACGTGAGTTGCCATAACTGCTTGCTTTCCTAGTGGAACGTAACGGGTGTTGTCCCTTTTTACGGGATAGGTTTGCTAACCTGACATCCAAGCCTCCCTCTTTTCCAGAGTTCAGAAATGTTTCAGCCGGAGGTTGAACCAGGATCACAAGTGTGGCTGACGAGCTCTCTCTCTACCATTCACAACCATGGTCTGTCTATCGTTAAATAAATTTTAACTAGACACTTTGTGCGTCCCTCACAAACGACCTGGTATGACCAAGGGTGGGTAGATTTCAGTCATTCATTACAAATGCTGTCATCATGTGGTCGGTCACTAGTACACAGTCTCTTCCTTCCCACCAACTTCTTGCACTTATAACTGGACGAGTTGATGATATGCAGGACCACCCCCTACAGTAGCTGGAAAACCCTCATATGGTGTGAAAACGGGAAACGAATCGAGTAGCGTATGAACTCGTTTTGGTCACAAGAAACCATGATATACAACTCCTCACACTTCTCCATACCTTTTTTGACCAAATTTCAGATTAAAGTCCCGGAGTGTGGCTCTTTATGATAACCACCCGCTTTAGGTCTGGGAGTCCGGGAAGTGTGTGTCTAGGTCTTCGCATAAATTATGGGATTTTGTTTGGCGCATCTCTTAATGCCCACAATATACCAAGTTTGTGTTTCGATAATGGTAATAGTTAATTATGAATAGAAGCTGAATTTCACTGACACAGACCACCAAAAGGCATACATTCTCAACATCAACCTACTAGTAGAACAGGTGTTGATTAGGAGGAGGTTATTAAACAACCACAACACGAGAAAACAACACAAAAAAATATTTCAACATACTCAGGATGAATATATGTGTATATATATGGAATACTTACGGACACATCCACGATTTGTAGCTTTGCGTTTCTTAACAGATGATGCATTGAAGTGTGTTTGAGAAGAAGAGAATATATTTCCATTGGAATTATTGCCTGCTTCAGAGGCTGCAACTGCAGCGCTGCTGCTGATGATGATGATAATGACGAAGACGACGCAACACCACCATTAACACCACTATTGTTGACACTTGATGATGGTAGAGTGTTATCAGTATTCAGTGCAGCTGCAACGACAGCAGTGGCGAAATTGGCAGCAGCTGCACTCAATCCACCATGTCCTCCGCCAAGTGATGAGGATGAGGTTCCTTTTCTTTTCCAATAATAGTAGAAGGCTATTAGCTCTTTGACAGTCTTCACTGGTTCACTTGTAGTAGTAGCAGCAAGCAAACCTGATGGTGTATTGCCGTTACCATCATTGAGACCTTTTTCTATTGTATATCAAGAATCCAGAATTGAATAGGATAGAAAACAAAAAAGAATAAAAATAAATATTATTGAGACATAAAGAAACAATAGTTCAAGGTGTATTTCCTCCTTATACGTGTAAAGTAGAATGCAAAAATGACTGAAAGCTCAATTAAGCAAGTTCAAATTAGCACTCTCTTTGATCATAGGCGTCTGAGTTCTATCTCCCGTGTTAGGGTGAGTAATATTAGGTTCAGGCGTTGAGTATTAGGAAAGAAGGGAAAGTCAATCGATGAGGTTGTGAAGCTACACTGACTGAGATTGTTAGGACACATATGTTAAGCATGCCTAGCTATAGCCATCCTCGACGCGTAATTTTAACCGACATTGGATCAAATTAGAAAAGACCTACAAGTGGTCAGACCAAAACTTGGAATCAATGTATGAAGTCTTTGACAGTCAGTATGAGCCAGCCACGTAGGGAAGTGTAGACTTTCTGGCTGGTTGGAGGCAACCGAAGATATGACTCAAAATCGTCCTCAACGAAGCAGATGATACATTCACTCTCTGGGATCTGACACATCCAAAAACTCCTATTGTTTCTCCCTCACATTTCTGCTCAGTATCATTCTTTTTTCGCCCTTTAGTCTTCCCCTATGAGTTACATGGAGTGTGCGCCAACACGAACTGCCGCACTCCTGTTCAAAGTTATATGCTGAAGGCAGTCAGCCAGTCATTTAGTTAAATCAGAACTTGGAAACAAAAAAAAATAGAAAGTAGAAATGATAAACAGTTCTAGGGAATACGTATTCCGATTTTAAGAATAACTAGTTTTTAAGAGACTATACATACAATCCCAAGTGTATCTCATTTGATTGAAGCTTTTTAGAAAAGCAGGTTGAAAAAGTAGAAGAACACAAAAATGACTGTGATTGTGATTGTGACTGAGTTTCAACACAGAATTTTGCACAAAAGTGCTGCAGCAGATCAAGCTGTCACACTCCATGTAACACGAAAAAATATAGAGAAGAGAAAAAGAGATTCTCCGCAGCCTTTGGTTCTTAGCATCCGGGGGATCCCAACCAGGTGGTCTACACCTCCCTATGTGGGGTAGCCCAAACCAACTGTTAAAGACTTTACGGACTGATAAAATATATATTGATTAGAGACTATCCTAACTCTTTTCTAACCTCATCCAATGTCAACTAACATTATTACTTGTCGACAAAGGAGGTTACTTGGCATGAGAGCAGCACGTGTCCCAGCTATCTCAATTGATGTAGCCTCACAACCTCGTCGACCGTCTTCTCCTCGTTACCTAGCATTCTTTGACAGTAATTCTTAATAAGTGCCTTTATATATATAGTTCAGAAACTTAGTGAATCATGAAAAGCATTTCAAAGAGCTCGCAGAAAACTTTCATCAACAACTGACATGGCCCAGTACCGAAGAACATACGGTTGGCTAGTAGGAATAGACAAGCCGACAAGGAACTCTTTCAACAAACCAACCAACCAACAACTTATCGCCCAACATGTATGCAGTAAGAAATGCAGGTCGAGGAAACCGTTGAGTGATATCAGGCGACAGGCAGACCTGGCAGAGTGGAAGCTGAATGAGAAACAAATTGGGCCATTAGTCCGAGGGTGACATGGACAAAGGTCTTATAAGGAGATGAAAGCTTGTGGACGATCGTGGAGTCAGTCAGCCAGCCAGCCAGCTTAAAAGGATTGCAGAGAACCGGGTGAAATGGGGATAGGGCTGTTGAAGCCTTCCATATGTGCCACTCAAAAACCAATGGAGTAATGCGAAACAGAAGAATACAAACTCACGTGTTGTAGCATTGTTCTCTGCTGATTCCCCATTATCGTTTAATGATTCAGTATTTGAAACACCTACAGCATCCTCAGACTTAACCTCTTCTAATTTACCACCGGTTGATGCCGACGTCACTGTGGCTGTCGTTGAATTACAACCTTCACTCTCGTCTGATTTCATACTGGATAGTTTTGAGGCTGATGCAGTACCATTATTACTACTAGCAGGAACAAGTTTACGACGACCACGACCACGTATACGACCAGTGCCCCCATTGGCATTAGTTGCACTATTGTTATTATTGATATTGTTGGTGTTAGAGTTATTGTTATTATTATTGTTGTTATTAGTTGATGTCTTTCCACCGAAGAAATTTCTTTGTATTGTAAAAAAATCTTTTCCATGGATACGTAGTGCATGTGCAAACAGTCGGACTTGTTCAGCTGTCCAATGCCTTGGCGTATCCTGTGCATTAAAAAATAAAGACGATCATGATTACATGATATATTATTATTATTATCCTGATAATACTATTACTCATCTAAATAAATAAATAGAGATGTTTCAAGTTTGACCACCGATTGATATCAGTCAGAGGAAAATTGAAAACCAGCATGGAGTACTGGACAATCAGCTGTTTCATCGTTGTTTGAGACTCATCTGCAGAACGCAGCCACCGAGGTACCAAACCCAGGGCAAGCTCGTAGACCATTCAGCCACTGAGACTCGATCTAATGGCCAGTCCATGAAATCTAACTTCTACCAATTCGTGATTGTAGCGCGATCACTAGCCAATGTCATCTGCGAGTACTTGTCCTCACCATGGTAGTAGATTCAGAGTCACGACCATCTCCTTTGGTACACAGAGACAAGGTTTATAAACTCGAATTGCACAAGCCTCTACAATTGCAAGCACCTTCTTGTTTCTTTGTCTGCTGACTGGTGACAGTGAATGACTTGGCCGCGTCGATTGTTGAAGCACTCGCTTAGTGGTGTTAAGGATAACAAGTTTTGGAGCATTTGAGTATGTTTGTGAAAGCAAATAAGCATAGGTCGTATGGAAAGGCGATTGTCTGCTCGCATGATGGAGCATTTGCCAAAATGGTTGAAAATAGTTGAGTGCAAACTGCCAAAATCCTCAATAACAAAATATCTTGTGGACTACGAACATGATATCGACGCGGCCAAGTCATTCACTGTCACCAGTCAGCAGACAAAGAAACAAGAAGATGCTTGCAATTGCAGAGGCTTGTGCAATTCGAGTTTATAAACCAGGTCTCTGTGTACAAAAGGAGATGGTCGTGACTGTGAATCTACCATGGTAATACGTTTTACTTATTATTCTACCTCTTATTATTATTATTCTTGATTCATTTAAAACTATCCTTTATCAGTAGGATTATCTTAACTCACTTCAACACTTATTATTATTGTTATTATAACTATTACTATTGATTGATATTATTCTGTTTGCAATTCTTGTTATATTCTCTAATGTCTTATTGTTTATCTAAGTGATGTAACTGAAGCGTAATGCAATTTATCTTAATTTTGATCTCCCATACTCTCTCTCCCCTTATCTAATTGAACATGACCTGGAAAAACATTCGCATCTGTCTTTCAGCATGACTAATTCAATGTAGTTTGTTTACTTATCAGTCCTATATCTCCCAATGTAATTTCAAAAGTATATATATATCCGTGTATGTAGAGTTCTACCGAAATTTGATGAATTCAATGTGAATTTGTTCATGGATAGATAGATATCAGGTGGAGAATCACTGAAAACCATAGAGCACTGCATAGTCGTTTCGTCCTACTCAGGAACTCCTCAGGTGAGACAGAATCAAGATGGTTTGACCAACGAGCTAAGCCACTATTTGAGTGCCTGATAAGTCCCCACACATTGGAACTTCTGTCAATTCATGATACAGTATCACCGTTAACCAAAGCCACCAATGAACACCCGCTTCACACCCAACATGCTGGACTCATCGTGGATTTGTGGGACAGAACGACTATCCTGTGGTCACATATTCACAAATTAATGCCATTTTATGACGAAATCTTCAATCATTACAAATATACTTCTTCATTAAATGAACACTTTACAATAAATGATATTCAAAAAAGTAGAAAATAAACGGATCAATGAACTAACCTTAGCCACAATAGGATTACACGATATCGCCTGTAGAGCATTTCTTAATGAATATTTACATTTATGCAGAGTATCATAGGCGTGTTGAGTAGTCGCGGCAAGATTAGCAAGAACCAGACCATTTTCAGCCGAGGATAAATCATCTTCAGCACCACCGAAACCAAAAAATGCTACCATTGATCGCACAGCATCTAAGTAGTTTTTCAACGGTTCATCTGATAGCATAGAATTGAAATCTGAACTGATACTATTTAGCACAGTATTTGCATTATTGTTATTATTATTGTTATCATCATTATCAACAGTATGTGGATTGTTCTGATGATCATTCACAGTAGTGCTAGCGATGATTGAATTGAAGTCTTTACAAGAACCCGACAGAGCAGAGGATAAACCACACGGACTCCAAACAAGCACCTCCCTTTTTTGTGATTTTCGACGGCGACATCTCCGATGTCCTCCTCCTCCTCTTCTTCGCTTTCGATGATGAGATTGACTTCCAGGATAGACATGATTTTTATGATTACAAGCAGGATGACATTGATGGTGCCGATGATGATTGTGATAGTGGTGATGATTAGGAGGCTGAGGATGAGGAGGATGATCCAAGTCGTCCGTATTCATCGGATCGACCGACATATGATCATCATCAAAATGATTTGCATTCTCTAATTTTGGTGGTAAATTTGACGCTGCTAATGGTTCACTAATTGAAGAAGACTCAATCTTTTGTACATTTTTAATGCTTTCTGACAAGTCTACAGATGCGTTGACAGTCGCTTCTGTTTTACATGGCATGTCTTCATCATCATTATGATGATCGTCAACATGATCATCATTGTCGTCGTTGTTGAAGGTGTCTAATTTTTTAGGAGATTTTGGAATATCCATTTTTGGTTTATTGATTAACGGTTTGTTGTCATCAGCATCAGCATTATCATGATCATCATCATCACCATCGGACATCTTTGAAGCTGTACCACAAATATCGCCACCATCACCACCACGAGTACCACCGTCATCGAGAGCATCTGAAGAAACATCATTATTTGACGGCTGTAATTCATGATTATGCAATGTGTTAACTGTAGTCAATTGATGCGGTGAAGCATTACTGGTACGTCTATGCTTACGAGGATGATGATGATGATGATGATCATAATGTTGCGGGAGTGAATGTGTATCTTGATCTGCTGATTTATGCGTACAACGTTTACGCTTACGTGAATGATTCACACAATGATTTCTATTGTTAAAGCGATAGGCGGCAGGTGGATGATGACGAAATTCTGGTAAGGCGGCTTGATAGGCTTGACCAACCTGGAAAAGAAAAGTTGGGGAGAACATTTAAGATGAAGATTGATATTTAGTTACTACGAAAGAACCTCAGGAAATGAGGAAAAAATGCTTAGACAAGCTTAGATGTATTGCTTAACAAAAGAAACATACAGCTCACTTAATATGAAACAAATGTATTATGAAATAATTTCATTGTAAAAGATTCCTCCAATAACATTTCCTCCAATAACAGTGTGAAAAGTCTAGTGCAACAGGTAAAAAATGTCATTTGTGATATCAAGAGTATACTTGCTTGTACTTGTACTTTAAGCTTAGTGTGTGTGTGTGTGTACGTACGAACTCTGATACCTGAAAATGATTCATTCACAGTGAGCAGAAAGGAGAGACTACAATTGTATGAGACTACCCAGAATGAGTCAGTTCTTCTATACGGATCAGAAACTTGGCGGCGGGTCACAAAGAATATTTCCAACATTATTATTATTTCCTTTAATTCCTAGAGGAACATAGGGCTTCAGCCATGCGTCTCCATTGCGTTCGGTTCTCTGCTGTAGTTTTCACCTGGCTCCAAGTCTGCCCACACGCTTTCAATTCCTCTTCACATGATCTCCTCCAGGTCACCCTTGGACGACCAACTCGTCGCTTCCCTTTCGGGTTCCACTCGAGGGCTTGTCTAGTGATGTCACTTGCTGGTTTCCTCAGAGTGTGTCCAATCCATCTCCATTTCTTTCTGCCTATTTGTTTCACGATCGGTTCCTGGTTGGTTCGCTCATTGCCAGAGATCTCTGTTGCTGATCCTCTCCGGCCATTTGATCTTGAGTATTGAGCGAAGGCATTTGTTAATGAAGGTCTGTAGCTTGTTTGAGCTGCTCTTTGTGACACGCCAAGTCTCTGATCCGTATAGTAGTACTGACTTCACATTGGAGTTGAAAATACGGATCTTATTTTTGACGCTGAATGCTGTTGACCTCCACATAGACTTGAGAGAAATGAAAACTTGTCTTGCTTTTCCGATTCTTGCTTTGATATCCTCGTCAGTTCCTCCTGTAGTTGAGACGATGCTTCCCAGGTAGGTGAAAGTAGTTGTTTCCTTCAGGTTCCTCCCATTTATGCTGATTGTTGTCGGTTGTTGCTGTTGATGTTGGCCAGGAATCTTCATTACCTCTGTTATGTCTATGTTCACTTGAAGTCCTATCTTTGCTGCTTCTTCTGCCAATTTGTTGCTTTTCACTTGCATATCTTCCAGTTTGTGGGAAATCAGACATATATCATCGGCGAAATCCAAATCCTCCAAGGCTTTTGTGTCGGTCCATTTTATGCCTGTTCCCTCGTTGGTTGCCGTTGTCTGCCGCATTATCCAATCAACTGCAATCAGGAAGATCATTGGTGACAGTAGCCAGCTTGTCTCACTCCCGTCCTCACTTCGAAGGATTCCGTGAGCCTCCCGTTGCGGATTACTTGGCATGCAGCGTTGTCATACAGCTGTTGGATGAGATGTATAATTGTCGGTGGCACCCCGTAGTAGCGAAGTAGTTGCCAAATCACCTCTCGATCGACGCTGTCGAAGGCTTTCTCAAAATCGATGAAGTTGAGATAGAGAGGTGACTGCCATTCCAAACTTTGTTCAATGATAATCCGTAGGGTGGCGATTTGGTCAATGCATGACTTGTTCCTCCGGAATCCGGCCTGTTCCGGACGAAGTTTTTCATCTAGGGCTTGTTTAATTCTCTCCAGGATGATGCGACATAGTATCTTGCTTGGAATGGACAGAAGCATAATTCCACGCCAGTTTTTACATTGACTCAAATCTCCTTTCTTTGGCAGTTTGAATAAGTATCCGTTCTTCCAATCCTCGGGTACTTTGCCCTCTTTCCACACCTTCTCTAGTAGTGGCGTCATCAAGTCCGCTGTTGTCTCTGGGTCTATTTTCAAAGCTTCTGCTGGGATTCCATCTGGTCCTGGCGCTTTCCCAGCTTTTAGCATCTTGATGGCATTCAGGACTTCGGATTTCGTCGGAGGGTCGATGTTCATTGGTAGTTCTGCTTCCGTTGTTTCCAACAGGTTGCAGACATTTATCAACAGCTGTCTTCACTCTATACTGAAGATCAGATGGCCGGAAAGAACAAGAACCAACAAGAAACTATGGGAACAAACAAAAAACAAGAACCAATCGCTCAACAAATATGCTGGAGAAAGTGGAGATGGATTGGACACTCGCTGAGGAGGCCGTTGGGTGACATCTCGCGTTAGGCCATAGCTCGAGTGGAATCCGAAAGGGAAGTGATGAGTGGGACGTCAGTGCAAGTGTGATATGGAAGAGATCGTGTGAAGAAGAGTTGAAACAGTATGGACTAACACGGATGCAAGTGAAAAGTAAAACAGAAGACAAAAGCAAGTGGAGATGTGCAGTTGAAGCTTTATGTTCCACTAGGAACCCAAGGGAACAATAATAATAATACCAAGAATGATAGACACAATCTTCGAGTTCAATGAAAGTCACACCTGGTTATAGCTCAGTTATAACAGGATTAGATTACTCATTTATCTAGGCTGTGTGTCACAAGCTTATTGTGTTAGAGTCGATGATGATACGAACCAGATAATTCTCCAGGATCAATTAGGTTGCAGATGAATTACAATCCACAACCGAATGGCTGAAAGTCAAGTGATGATGCCAAAGAGCCATAATCTCGGAGCAACCTCATCGTCACCTTCTTGACCAACATGGTGGTGTAAAGGAGTCATAAAGTCAACCGGGAGTTCCGTATACTGATAAGAATTCAGAATTTAGAAATTCTATACAAGGTACCACCCCCATTCCGCAAGTTTGTACGCCTTCGATAGTTAAGAATAGCTTGAGTAATCTCTGTGTTCAGAAAAAATTTGTTCAATCCCTTCCCCCCTCCCATGGCTCACACAAAGCCAACACCTAGTATAGTTACCTTTCCTGGTGACACCGGATAACTGTAAATATCACTTTTATTTGTACTGCCAACTTAATTACCAATATCACGCTGTGCTATAGTGGCATATTTTAATCTTAGTTTCACAATTTATTGTTATCGTTATTTTATTTAATCGCCATGTGACAAAAGTTATTTTCCCCTCTATCCCTCCCCTAATATACACACAGTCATGACTAACTAAATTACATAAACACTTAAATGGATTTATCCTTGTCATTACCAGTAATTCACATCCCTGAACCATAGTTCTAATAACCAGACTGTTCAAATGCCCAAGATTAATATTTCATAATATATATTTTTTCAATTCCTTCACGTTCCCAGTGGAACATTGGGGATTCAAGCGAGAGGTTTGAAGTTTCTGTAGCAGTGGCATTTATTTTTACGGGATGCTGAACCTTCCCTCTTTTTACCAGTCTTATTACTACTTTAGCGAGGTAAAGGAGTGCGTCCAGTGGCCGGGTATCGAACCGCGAACCATATGCGCGACGTGGTTGGAGAGCATTCTACCGCTGTGCCACCGACGCACTATAATATAATATGCTTAAGTCTAATGAGTATCCACAGAAAATAGACATATTTTCGCTTAAATAGTGTTCCATAAAAACAGTTTTGCCGATATGACAGAAAATGTTGGCGGTTCATTTTCAGTGTTTCACCTGGAAGTTACGCATATTTGTTTGGAGAATGAATAGAATGGGAGAAGAAGTTTCAGATATTATCAGGGTGCGAATATATGACATCAACAGAACAAAGTCGACCATTGCTTACGATTTGAGTGGAACATATAGGGGCTTCAACTTTTGAAGTTTCAGCAGGAGTGGAATTTTTTTTATGAGATGGGACAACGTGCTAGCCTCATGCTTAACCTTCTCACGTATTTCTGGTATACTCACGGCTAGAAAAAGAAATCAGATTCAGCAGTGCATTGGCTTGAAACCAAACCTGGACCACCGGTGTAGCTGAAAATCACCACCAATGCACATTGGTAACTGTGAAGGAATAAAGGAATCCTAGTTTGGGATGATTTTCATGTTTTCAGCGAGCTCCAGGATTAAATTCTGACATCAAAACAAGCTGGTAGATCATACTTGTGGGTAGTTTTAAGAAGGCTTTACACTAAGCTTTCTTCGATTGCAGTCATACACCGTTTTCAACTTTTATTTTTTTGTTTTACTAACGCGTTTTAGCCTTCTCTCTGCTAACTAGTATAACATAGATTGTTCCTATAGGTACCAGTATTTATCTGGTAAGCTAAGAACATATATAGTTAAGGCGATGAAATGGTTTTAAAACTAATATATACAGTTATTCACGATCAGGACAGTTTCCAGCTAGTTTCATGCAGTTGGATTGCCATGGAAAACGAGAGTGCCAACTAGCACGAAACCTAGGTCATGCAAGGCTTCCTGTGGCCACATTGCATCCAACCATATAATATCATCGAATCAACGTGCACCATGATGGCGAGCTACCTAGAATGGTGGCCACATTGCAAACCTGACTGATAGAATTCAGTCTGCACCAAAGAAAGGACTAGACACGTCGCACTAATTACTAGTATCAGTGTTGAACGAACTTATTGAGAAAGAAGCTATATCTTGAATAGATGTAATTCACACAAATTCATACAAGAAGACTATTTACATGCAATGACGACGGATGGGTCCATTTAACAGGATCTAACCTGTCTTCCTTCATACACAATATGAATGTGTCAGATCGAAGCAACAGTAAGCAAATTACTACTTGAACTTTCATTATTATTTCCATTCTTTCTCAAATAGTAACAAACAAACAAACATACAATCAAAGATAACTTACGCGTATTTCTGCACGAATTTTGGATAAACGACGCGTCTCGGGATTGTAAGCAAAAACATAGAAAAAGCTATCATCTTCATCTGGTGAAAATGTTGTCAGGGCTGTTTTTAAGTCGGGCAAATAATTCACTTTACACACGCCACGTAGTTGTTTAGCTGGCAGAGTTTCTTGTACTTCAGAAACAAACAGTTCACGAGCAAATATCTGTAAGATAATATGGAAGACAAAAAACACAGATTAGATCATTGTTTCTAAAATGTAATCTTTTTGTAAATGAGAATGCTGCATGAATCAGAGTCCTAGGCGGGGTCATACAGGAAACGACTAACACGCACGTTGGTTTCAGTGTAACAATCGGCAAATGTAATTCATATATACATCTCTATCCGTTAGGATCACTCCTGAACCTTTGTCAGGACGTGTTATTATTAAATCTTTATTGTCTCTTTCAGTTCTTTGAGTTGTTTTCTGTGTTCTTTTGTCAGGAGACGCGTCAGGCTTTAGTTTTCGAGCTGAGCGACTGATTACAACAGTCGAAAATTGTTAACTTGTAAGAGTGTAAGAATTCTATGTCGGAAACTGGAGTAATGTCATTCGTTTGGCTTATAAGATTCTCGAATTGAATACACGTGTGAAATCTGTTGCTGTTAAGATTTACGTCACAGAATTTTAGTCCAAGAGATAGAGCTTCTAGTAGTACCGTTGATAACGTAACTGAAGAGTGATTGAAGACAAATTTATTAGGATCGCTGGGAAACTTATTCTGGACTTCCACGGGTTTCAGGCTTTTGTTCAAATCTAATTTAATATGTTCCGCTCTTCTGTTCTGCACCAGTGTAACATATTCATTAAACGATTGTCTCTCGCATGATGATAATTCACAAAGAGCGGAAGATCTCTGTGATATGTTTCTTTGCAATTCGAATATATACGTGAACTGATGGAATCGATGACGTTTCTAGTGTGACGTTGAAGAGTTTTCGAATTAGAATATATACATGATGTCTACGCAGCGCTTTCCATTACCATTTTGGATATTGACGATTATTAATACAGCTTTCGAAGAATTCCAATTTGCATTTACTTCGGCGAGTTTGACAGAGAAGGGTCCTTGCTCTTTTTCAAATCGTGGGAAACACCCATTAGGACATTACTCCAGTTTCCGACACAGAATTCCTGCTAGTCACCATCCACTAAATAACATCAGTGTTGATCGATTCTTAGACATCGTCGAAGCACCCGTACTAGACGCCGATATATCGAAAGGGGAGCGGGGGGGGGGTAGCGAAAATTTCCGTCCAGTCAATCAATCAATCAATAGGAAAATTGAAGTTGACTTAAAGACAAATAACCACAAGTGTTATACTCCACAGAGTACACTACCAATTAGAACATTAATTACACAACTTGCTACTATCTTAATTCCTGCTTCCTTTAATCATTAACTTATAAAGGTGTACGAGACGAACTTCTACAAAGCACAGAAGCTATGGCAATCTGTTAAATTCAGAATTATGCATACAGAAGAAGTTTGTTTAGTCAATGAATTTGTAATGAACCTGATCTTGTTTCAATATTTAACGTGTGATTTGTTTTCAGAATAATTTGTTTACTCATCATCATTAAAACACCGCTACTACTACCACTACTTCTTGTGAGACTGAATTTGACTTGGTCTTTTTACACACTCAGTTGAACTCTACTCAATACCTGTAAGTTGAGTTACGTCAATCAATTTTAACTGAATTAATTTTTTCTTTAGTCTTTGCCTAATTAATACTTTGGTATGTTACATAGTTTAGAGTCTGTTCATTGTTATCTAAAACTCAAAATATTTCATTTATCATATCTTTAGAAAAATTCCTTTTGTTGTTATGTTATGACAACAGATGATGATAGGTATTTTTGATTGTACAGTTTGAGTGAGAATGATATCATCTCTGGAAAGAGTATCTCTATCTCTTCACTGAGCAACTACTATTCAGCACCTCAAACTAATTATTATCACTACTATTATTAGTCACAGCATTTGGTTCAACTACAGTTATGTAGTACACACGAGGTTGTCAAAGCCAAACCAGGATCGGAAAAGCAAGATCTACAGACCTAAATGACTTTGAAATCCGTATGTGAAATCCCCCTCCTTGCAATCAGGATAAGAGTAATACAAATCTGGGTTTTCAAGACTAAATTTCATTTCTAACAGGGCAGCAACTGTAGACTTTCATTACCACACCAGACCCATTTACTCCATATACTCAAAAATGAAGATCAGATGGTCGGTCAGAAAAGATAAACAATAAGAAACTATGGCAACGAACCAATGAAGGACCTCTACTACCCAATAAAACAGATATTAATCATGCAGTCGTTTCTTGTTTTTGAAAGGAAAGTCAAGACTGGGAAACTATGAAGAGAAGAAATTTGAACTGTCTCTAGTCAGAATGATCACCTTTTTTGTGAAACACTGCACAAATAAATGATTGAAATATCACAGTTAACGGGTGTCTGCCATCCACAATGAAGGCAGTGGTGTCCCTCAAGGCGCTGTCCTTCCTCCTTTTCTGTTTTCTTTCTTCATGCATGACTTGCCTCACTCTGATAAAATGAACTTTGTTAAGTATGCTGATGATCTAACTATTTCAATGTCTGTTAACTCCCAGCTGGATTGTACTAAGATGAACAGCTTTCTATCAGGAGTCATCAGCAAATGGTCTTCGTCTAATGGCCTAAAACTAAATCCTTTTATATGTCAGACTGTTAATTTCAGTTTTCGATGTAAACAAAAGTTAAATGAAGCCGTTGGTTCCTATGACCCTTGCAAAATTGATGATACTGATATAGAAACCAAGTCTGAAGTTAAGTATCTTGGATTAGTTCTTTCTTCTGACCTATCCTGGTCCTCTCATGTCTTAGCGATTTCTAAAAGAATATTTCGTTTGACTTTTTACATTAAGAAGTTAAGGCACTCATGCATAACCCAACCCCTTCTCTAACAGTTTGTCAACTCGTGTATTTTACCTATTCTTCTTTACTTTTCACCCTTATTCTTTCCTGGATTGCTTAAAAAAGACTGTCATACTTCGTAGAACTCTGAAGACTGTCAGTAAGACGAGTGGTATCCCACTGGGCCATATCGTTGACATTGTCATTGATAGGCACTTGATGTCATGCAACAAATTCGCTAAAGGAATTTTGTCAGACTCTGAGCACCCACTTTACCCGCAACTCCAACCTTGTGTCTCCTCAGGTAAAACAAGAAGTCCTTTCAGAAGACTTTATGCACGTACGTCTAAGTAGAAAAACTTCACTATACCATATTTGGCTGTACGTACTTTATGTGATGAAAATAGTGTCAGACATGAACTAACTAACCTTCTTTGCATTACTAAATAAACCATTTCCTTCTCGCTTAAAGCATCAAACTTTATTGTTATTATTCTTCTTATATTTATAATCCTCTCAATGCTTTGTTTTCAATTATATTTTTCATAAGAGTAAACATCATTTAAGCTGTGTTATAACTGTTAATTTTGTATTTCCCCTCACTATACTATATCAACAGAACATTAGATTCAATAATTTATAACATGCTAAAATTTCCAAACTGTATCGACAATACTGTTTGTAACAAACCCATTGTTATTATTATTATATTTAATATTCTCAATTCGTGCTTCGAATATTTTTGACTTTATATCGTAAACGTGGACAAGTTCCTCTGGTTAATTTCGTTTTAATTTCATTTGTATTTTTAGTAAATCAGATGCAATATTGTGACAAATGCTGAGAATTCCATTCTGTATTATAAGTAGTACTGTTTTTGGAATAAAGTAGATTATTATTATTATTATCTGCCCTCAAATTTTAGCATTTTAGTTGTACAAATGTTACACTTCTAAAGGAATTATTATAAAGTTTAAGAACAAAGGAAATTACGATTATTCCCGTAAATACTTTGCATATTTATCATAAATTAATGAATTTTATTGATAAAGGCTGAATTAATTGCTAAGCAAATAAAAGAAAAGGTGTTCTTCTTCTTCTTCAGTGGGTAGAGTTATTCTTTTCATCAGAGATATCATTTTTAAGCTGTACAACCGCATATATATAGAGAGAGTAAGTTGCCTTAGTAACAAAAGGAATGTGTTCCAAAGATGTGTGTGTCATTAGAATTGTACACGTTTTAGACGCCAATTGAGTAATATACAGAAAGAGTTAATAATCGTGTACAAACTAAAATCAAGTTAAATAAGTAGATTGCGTGACGTTATATATTTATAATTGACAGGACTGAGTACAGCTCTACTAAAAAAGTTGAAGGAGGTTTAAGTTGAAATCAGTGTCATACGGAACAGAAATGAAATATTGGTGGTTGGGGGTGGGGGTGGGTACAGGCAGACAAATAATATTCCTAAAAAATTACATATCCAGTGTTAAGATGAATTACGTCCACTGTAGATTCAGTGACGAACATACTTCTTTATGTGTACAGTTCAGGATTTATCAGATGCATTGCCATCGCTTCTGTGGTTTAAAGTAGTTTTTAAGTATTGCTTTTTGTAGGGATTTAGTTTGATTGGATAAAGGATTTCATCATGAGCTGACATCAGTTAGAGAACTATTGGAAAACCAGCTGGGAGTACTGGATGACTGTTTCGTCCTAGCTTGATACTCTTCATTAGTACGCATTTACCGGGGTTCCAACCCAGGACTTTCTGATTACAAGGCGAGCTCGTAGATCATTAAGCCACTGATGAAGAGTCCCGAACCAGGCTGACGAAACAGCTGTCCAGTACTCCTGGCAGGTTTTCCAATGGTTCTCTAACAGATATCAGTTCATGACGAAATCCTCCAACCAATCAAAGTACTTTGACTCGTATTCCTTTTGGCAAGATTTTTGAATGGTGTATAGACGACTTTGAGATTGATTTGTCGGTTCGGTTGGTGTCCAGAGTCAAGCAGCGGGGCGATCCTTTTCCACCCTTATAAAACCATGAGGGTAAGTGTTCGATGAAAAAGTTACCATATACATGCGATTGTACAGTTTGAAAATGAGAGTGACTCTTCACTGGACGCTTTTTCTCATATATGGTTCAGTGGGGATAGCTGATTTGCTAGCAAATTATTATTATTTATTTATTTATTTCTTACGTTCCGAGTGGAACTTAGGGCCTCATTGGCATATTTCCACTACAGCCGATTTCAGTTGGCTCCACGACTATCTCTTAGCTTTCATTACCTCTGCACATGATCGTCTCCATGTCAATCTTAGAAGCACGCCTAACTGTATTTCTTCCTAAATATTTAGATCTATGTGAAAGGTGGTAGCTGTATGAATCGTCAACATTCAGTTGGCCAAGTTAAGCTTTAAGCACCACAAAACTCCAATAGAGTGCGACCGCACCAATGACCTTGAAACGCTCACTGAGCAAGTTAGTGAAACCTGGCAAATAATGTTGTCATCACCAATAAAATATGCTCATCGAAGTGTTATGCTATTAAATGGGATTTCTAGCAAGTTTCACCTTAGGTTTGGGAAAGATTAAGTTAAGGTTTAGGCCAATGACAAGTTAGGGTTAGGTTAACCTATTAAAGGCGACATTAGCGTTAGTTCAAGTTAGATTAGGGTTAGTTTAGGCATATTTTCACGTTGGAGTTGGGTTAAGGAAAGATTAGGGTTATTGTTAGGGTTAGAAGACCTAAATAATTACATACATAGAATGTGGTTAAATTACTCTGTTGATATAAGAATAGAACTTGTGCACTGTGGTAGCTACCACAGAGTATAATTTCATTGTGGGTAAAATCTATTTTGATAAATTCTCACAATATTATACAGTAACATTTACTGATGACGTTTCGAGCACAGTTTATTGCTCAGGAAATATTACTGTATAACACCGTGAGACTTTATCAAAATAAATTTTACCCACAATGGGATTATACTCTGTTGATACTCCAACCTAAAACTGAGAGCTATTTTTTTCAAATGTGAGAGAAAGGTATCCTCTGTAACACTTTTATACAGTTTTTATACATCTTTTTCATAAATATATGTATTCCATACACAAAAATGCCTCCTTCACGTGATTGGTGCGTTTGAGGTCATTCGCTGATTGGTAGTTAGTGGTGCTTAAAGTTTAACTTTGCCATTCAGTGGAATATTATAATGCATATGAATAATTAACATTCTGTTTTTATATGCATAGATCTGTTGGTGAACTTATAACTGCATTATCTAAAATGGTTGTTTCATTTAAGAAATCAGGTTGCACATAGTAATTTATATTTTCTACTACATAACTCCGGACCGTATCTACAGTATAATTCCCAGGGACAGACAGTGGGCAGACTTCGGTCTTCTTCTTCTTCTTCTTCAAATGCTTTCATGTTGGTCATGCGTTCACAACCTCTGCTACGTAAGTCCTATTGATTGTCTTTAAGCAGCGGAAGTATTCTCCACATAATCGAAAAGGCGAATGCGAAAGTTTGGCAGTTACAACCAGACCAACTGATATGCTGGTCGATATCTATGGAAGCTAGAAAACCCTGATTCCAAATATCTATGGTGCACATGGTCTTCAAAATCCCAAAGGATCTAATGACATATGGACCTGTTTTGGTTATCGGAAATCATCGTGACGTAGCTCCTGACACTGCTCCACTGCTTTATTGATTGGACTTCAAATCAGAGGCTTGCAGGTGACCGCTTAAGACAACCACCTGCTTCGATCTGGGCGTCTGAGCAGTACGCCAGAGCATCTCTTGGGACCCACAATGTACCACGCTGTTGTAATTATATATATATATATATATGTATATATATGTATATATATATAATTACAACACCGACTCACTCCTTAACCTCGCTTATCCGGCAGTAAATCCGGAAAAAAAGAAAAGAGGAAAGCAACCCTCCGCCTCCCATTCCATAACATCAAGAATCATCGCTACTGCGACTTCAAATTTAAGGCTTAATGCCCTATATTTCCCATGGAACGCGGAGGAATGAAGTTAAAAATAGTACCGTATGGTATTAATCGTCTTTTCTCGTGCGCAACAGAACCTCCAAACATTATAGACGATTTTTAAAACCTTGATTATTCCTAATTTATTTAGATTTCAACTCATGACCTAAGTGGTCTAACAGATAACGCTTTGGCACTTGTTTTGAGCCTCGGTGGCAATACCATCCATCACTTACTGGGGAATGTAGGTGCATCCATTGGCTGACGAAGCCCGAATAGGACGAAATGCGCATCCTGGCTTGATTCCAATGCTTGTCACCATCCACCAATTGACCTGATTATTCCTCTTGAAAATAGGATTAATAGTGGCATGACAAAGTTTCTATCTTTTAAGTATATTATGATAAATTCACACTTCAACCAGTAGTAGTAGTAGTTCAATATATGTGTGAAATCATCTAGATTCTAGAAAAGTTATTCCATTAGTGACACAACACAAACACACACACACACACGCATACACTTCAGGAGTGCAACAGTGCTTCTATTTTAAAAAAAGCAGCATGTGTTGACCTCTTTTTCTATGGATGATTAGTTAGTTGTTTACTTATACTATCATTTTCGACATTTCTAATTCAACATGCAATATACTCATAGAAAAGAAAAGAAAACAATATTCAAAATTCAGTTTGTTAAACGCCTACTTTTTTCTTAAGAATACTTTTTCTTCTTCTCTGCACGCACATTAACACCATTCTGCTAATCGCTAACTCTTGTATATATTCTCTTTCATTCATGTGTAAACCAATACGATTATTTATGTATTGTGTATCGAGTATATATAAGAAAGCAGTAGTAGAGGTATGCAAGATTGTGAATGACACTCAGCAATCACTCAGAGATACCGTATATCTGATTTATTAAACTTCAATAGGTGAGGAAAATTTGGGAGTCTCTCTTTTCTTATTCCTTCACATTTCCCGTGTGGAACACGCATAAGGCCTCAAAGCTTGGGCTTTGAAGTTTTTGGAGGTGGTGGTGTTGGCGTTATTTTTCCCACAGGTGAGATAGCCAGCCTCACGCCAGACCTTCCCTTTTCACCAAACTTACTCAATGCTGGCTAAGTGAGACAAATAAAAATGAGTCAGTCGAGAATTGAACCCGGACTATATGAGGTGTGGTTGGCGTGCAGTCTATCAGAGAACCATAGATATACAAAGTTGGAAGTCAATTTAATACGATAAAACCTAGCCTAGGTTCTAATGTGGTGGCAGAGGGCGTGTGTACTGTTCAGCAGTTCGCTCTGTCCTCCTTCTTTATGGTTGTGAGTGAGACATCGTCATTGAAAGTGGAAGACATGAAAAGTCAGACTAGTTAGTTGTCTTCCATCATAGATGTCTGCGTTTTTCTCTGCTGTCTGAAGTGGTATAATAAACTGAGCAACATTGAGGTCAGGTAGGCTTCTGTCGAGTGCTAGGTAGGTGGGAAGGGAAAACAATCGACGAGGTTGTGAAGTTACACCGATTAAGAGAGAAATGGTTAGGACATGTGTTACGCATATCACCGTGCAATCGATCGTCTTTCTCAACGGTAGGCTGATTTTCAAATGGTTCTCTAAATAATAATTAGTTGTTTATTTGCGTGATGTAATTGAACCGTAATGCATTAATATTATTATTACTATTATTATTTTTGATTTTAATCTTTTAGAGTTCCTTCCTCATCTATCTGAACTTGACCTGTAAAACATTCTCACCTGACATTTTGCATGACTGTAATTTGTTTACTTGTCATTATTTCTAAAAGAAAGCTGAACTCTCCCCGTTGTCTAATTATTACATAAATAGTTGCTCTTTTAATATTGAATGATTCGTCTGCTAACAGCTCTCTTTGGAATTATGTTGCCTATGCTTTCTATCTATAACACTTGAAGTCACTGTGGAAAAAGTATGTTTAGACATCATTTTGTTTAGGATGTACAGCGCAGTTGAACAGAGAGAGAGAGAGAGAATCCCCGAGATAAAACCAACTCGTATTATCCTGTCTGCAAACATGTATTCGTTCTTCCTTTCTTTCTTTATTAAAAAACTAAAAACGGCAACCTGGTTGTATGAAGTTAGGTACATATCTCCCTCTCTCGCTCTCTCAATGTATTTCAAATAGAGTATTTAAAACATTCATTGTATGTAGAGTATCCACAGCTGAGAGAGTCCTGCTGAAATTCAATAAATCCATGGAAATTCTGCTTTATCGACAGCCTGTATGGCTTGTTTAACATTCGTATCAGAAAATGAATATTTCCGAGAGTAGCAGACTTTGTTCAACTGATAATGTGTCAATTCCAGTCGGGTACAATAGTTAGTTACTGTCCGTATAATGTGAGATAATTGCAGTGTAATGTAATGATGTATATATATATATATATATATATATATATATATATATATATACAATTATTTCAATAGAACAATAATCACAACAACAACAACAACCACAACAGCAAAAAAGAAACGCTAAGAAATAATGTGTTATGCAATGTTTGGTATAAAACTTTTCACTTTTAATCAATGATGGATGATAGCAGGTAGAGATAGATAGATAGACAGACCAATAGACCGGTAGACAGACAGACAGACAGACAGATAACTCTACACTATACATACTGCTAAAGTATGAACATAACACAAAATGATTGAGACAAACACATAAAGGCATATATACATACATACATACATACATATATACAAACGCACATTCGACTTACATCTCTAATAAATTTTACATTTGAATTCGCTGGATAATTATCACGATCAGGAAGAGCTTGTTTTGATATCTCCGGTATATCACGTGTACGATAGAAACACTTAATAAATACTGAGAATTTATCACGTCGAGAGACTTTAATTTCTTCAATTAAACCAATTGTAAAATATTCAAAATCAGGTTCTTCATAGTAGACAAAATCACCTTTATTTATGAGGAGAGAAAGAAACGATGATGAGTAGGAAATTTTAATTTGAAAAATGAAATCTTACTGAAAAGCCAATTGCAGTAGACAGTGGCTGTCTAAACGCCACTACTCAGTACGTGGAACAGGGCTCGAAACCATGACGACCCAGTGGTTGTTGGAAGTCGGACACCTAGACTAACGAACCACACAATTTGCGAAAGAGAAATGGACCATAACCATCAACATCAGCTTTGTTTACTGATGGCTACAGTCAGATGAAAGAAACCGATATAATATTTACAGTAGACACAAACAAATGTGAAGTCGATCACGGATTCTATACGGGTCAGAAACTTGACACGCGGTTGTCACGAAAAGGATTTCCAACAGCTTGTTACAGAGTTTTATCAACAGCTGCTACGTTTGCTGGCTCCATACTGAAGATAAAATGGCCGGCCGGCCGGCCAGAAAGAATTAGCAACAAGAAACTCTACAGTGGAACAAACCAACCAAGAGCGGATTGCCCAGCGAATATGTAGGAGAAAATGGAGATAGAAAAGGCATACTTTGAAGAGGCCTCGAATGATGTCGCGCGTAGTGCAGGCCATTGATCGAGTGGAATCCCAATGGGGAGCGACGAGTGGGTCGTCAGTGTGACGATGACATAAAGAGAGGGGATCGTGTGGGGAGGAGATGACAAATTGTGGGTAATCGTGGACACAGCTGAAGAGGACAAACGACAATAGAACAAAGTGGAGTTGTGTTGTTGAAGCCGTATGTTCCATTTGGAACCCAAGGGAGTATTAATAACAAGACAGAAGATATCCACAAATCGTTTACTATACACTGTGCCTAGGCAGGTTATGAAATGTTGCTTCAACGTTAGAGTAAAGAATTGTTCTACGTCCAACTATTCTTACAAAGAAAATTGGTCGATAATCGTCATCCCATATTATTTAGTTAGTTAGCTAGTTAGGGCAAAACGCAGTATTTTAATCTCTTGAGATGGACTATTCTTTATTTTGAAAACTGTATGATACAAGAAAGTTATAAGGGTCCCTAAGACATATATGTATCGACGGTTAGTGTTGCAAATTTGTAATCATTTCTCTAGGAACCTATCGCCTAACAAATAAACCGAAGAAAACAGATCGAACATATGTTAAGGTGACCGCTGCGTGAAATCACAACCCAAGCAAACCGTTAAGTGGATAGCTAATGAGAAAAGACGAGTTGGGTGTCTGAAAGTGACAAGGAGATCGTGTGAGGATAAAATCAGAACTGGTGGACGACCATAGAACCAGTTAAAAAAAAACAGACCACAGAGAACAGAGTGAAATCGATATTTGTCGCTGAAGTCCACTGCTCTACTCTAAACCCAAGGGAATAATGATAAATAATAATTCTCTAGAAACATGAGAAATGAGAAGAATGTCTGAAATTTATCTATTAAGTAACAACTACTGAATTTAGATGGATTATATAATCATGATAGTTGAACATTTCACTGAGAAATTGTTCAAAATCAACTACAAAGATAAAAGTGAGTTCATTCATTAGTATTTAATAACCCGTCATTATATTTCGATTGTTCAATAGTAGAAAACTCGTCAGCCACTCGAGATCCGCGTTCGATTTACGGCTGACGCAGTCCCACCCAAGCCTTCCCCAATTAACTGGCCAGTAGTAAGTCTAGAAAAGTGGGAACTTTGAGCGCGAGGCTAACAATCCCACCCCGTGTAAAAACAACACCAACGCTACTGAAACTTTAAAAGCATTAAGCCGAAGGTTTTATTCGGGACGTAAGGAATGGAAACACTACATTAGTTGATGATTAGACAGTGCGAGACTTGAGTACCATACACAGTTTATGTATGAGCAAAACAAAACAATAGAAAGTACTAAATTTATACAGTCGATTTGAATATAAATAATTCAGATACACTTGTTGGTCATTGAAGTAAACACTTGACTTTGAGTCAACAGGCTCCGAGTTCGAATCCTGCTCCAACTACTTCGGCTTGAGCGAATTGTTAGTATCATACATTAAGTATCGATCGAATAACTGAGTTCTAACCAACCCTAACTAGCTACAGTTCAAGCGACTAAACTATTGTATCATTAATTCAAGTCCCTTCTATCTAATTCATATTGATAAAGCATTGGTTATTAGAAAAACTTGCAAAATATTTGGCGTAAGGTTGTACACTGTTAATGAGTAGCAACATGCAAATTTAAATTATCCGTATTCTTAAGAATACACCTATAAAACCATGAATTACAGAGGTATTAAGCTAACAAAAAGCAGTCTACATTGTTGAATTACACATCGTAAGTACGTCACTAATCGACACTGAAATTTTCTTCTACGTATATTGCCTCTCCAATCCTCAATAAGCTCTTCAATTCCTAAATACCCAGGCAATACTCACGTGTCTGACTAGATAAATACAATAAATTAAGCAACACTGGCGTAAAAATGACGCGTTACAAGAATCAAAAGTTATAGAAACAACAAACCTGTACGATATTCAACGCCAGAGACAATACAAGAAGGGACATGATCGTCTGATGATCCATCATTGTTATTATTGTTACTGTTGTTGTTATTATGAACATTGCTAGGTCTTCCTTTACCACGTTTACTACGTCGTAAAGCCGGTTCCATGTCTTCAGTATTTACTTCCACCGGTCGTTCCTCAGTAGCTAATTTATCAGTCCGAAAGACATCGCTACTGTTGTTATTGTTGTTGTTGCTGTTAGTATTAGCATTACTTTGATTGGTAGTTGAACTCATTTTAGAACATTGACTTGATATTGAATCAGGACTTTTGGCAGATGCAATTTCTAATTTATCCATAGAACAAGGAGAAGGAGTAATATCACTTTTTAATAACACAGAGGAACCGTCATCCATCATAGTATGACGACCATTTTGTAAAGTGACTATAATAAGAAAATTTAAACAAAAAAAGAGCAATTTTAACTGGGTAAGCCTTGTTAAGACAAAATGTAAAATTATTGTAATTCAACGAAATGACTGAATAAACGGTTAAGAAGTATACATCAAGAATCTTATCTAGTACATGCTGCCAAACACTGTAAGATACTAATGAGTCCTCCCTTCCTGGTTGGGGTCCTCGAGACGGTAAAAACCAATGGTTGGAAACAATTGGTGACATGGCTCAAACTCATCGTTCTCAATGGCTGATGCAGATGCATCCACTCCTTGTGACTCATGATTTCCAATTAAAATGTTTTGTTCTCCGTTTTTACTATTCCTTTGTCTCACACCTCTGTTTACTGTCTATATTATGCATTTCTACTTTCTTCTCTTGCTTTGTGTGCTACTTGGAGTGTGGCGACTTGAACTGCCGCACATATGTGCAAAGTTCTATGTCGAAAACCGACCGAGTCCTCCCACTAAACAACAACTTTTTCTAGTCACATAAAGCTAGTTGTCACTGACCACAAAATTTCGCGTTTTATCTCCGCGGCTAAGTGGTATAATATAGTCAGCAATATTGAGGTTATGCGTAATGTTGGGTCCATAGATGAGGTTGGAAAGCTACAACAATTGAGATGGCCAAGACACGTGTTACGCATGCCAAGTCACAGCTCTCCTCGTTGGGCAATGTTAGCTGACATAAGACTAGGTTGGAAAAGAGTTAGGTGTAACCAAACCAAAACCTGTTATTAATCCATATAGACACTGACAGTTGCTTTGTGTCATGTAGGGGGGATGTACACTGCCTGATTAGGGTCCTTGAGATGCTAAGAACCAATGGCTGGAGACTACCGGTAATATGGTTCAATGGCGCACATGCATTCACTCATTGTGATCTCCCATATGCATTAAAAACTCATGTTTGCCCATAATGCTTTTCTTTCTTCCTCACACATTTGCTCATTATAGTCATTTTCATTCGCTTTTCCCTACTTCTATTTGCTATATGGCACATATGCTAAGGAGTGGCGACTGGAACTACTGCACTTATGTGCAAGGTGTTCAAGGTTAAAATCCCAGTTGGTCATATAGGATGTAAGCTATAGAAATCAACTCTAAGAACTATCTGACTTTTTCCGTTTGAAACTTTAATTCTTGTCGATAAATGTTCCGCACGCAAAAAGAGCTTTGAAATATGTACTTATTATTACAGCAGGCGTTTGGAAACAAGCCTAGTGAGTAACAACGCGCCTAAAGACTATTGAGTCTTATAACAGAGATAACTGTTCAGTTTTAACTTGCAAATGTGATATCCAAAGTTTAAGAATTTTAAGTTTATAGAGCCTATCTTCGACAGTCAGACAAATGTGAAGACCATACCAGGTATATCACTCGACATTTCTCTTGAAATAAAACATGTAACTGCACTAAAATATAAGTGTCGCATATATTAAAGATCTTTACTGTTTGATAAAACTTGCCTTAGCCTACCTAATAAATGAGTCTTAAATAAATATTGGCAAAGGAAACATGTAGGAGATTTCAGTTTGCGTTGGGGTGCCCAACCATAAGTAGTGTCACTGCTCCCATTAACCAAGTATAAGCACATCACCGTTACTCAACAATCACTTGCAATCCCATGCAGTTGACATATAGTCATACCTGTTGTGAGAGCTAGTGATGCTACCTGATTGCTCAAACCTCGATAGGTGGAGCAGGATTCGAACCTGTGAACATCATTCCAGATTCACAGAGGATAGCTAAACAATAATTTATCCTATCTGAGAAGTATATCTAGTAGGCTGATCACTGGATATGGTTGCCACCAAAGAAAACTCGACAAGCATTTTCCAAACACTAATTTAAAGCGAGAAACTACACAGAAACAAACTAAAGTACTGAGCATCTTGAAATAATAAACATCCGCATAACAGGTATGCCTTTTCGGTGGAGTAGTAAACTTTGAGCTATACTGTCTGACTGTGAAGCTTTCATTTTTTTTCAGACAACATCCTCAATACTAATGTCGTTTTGAAAGCTCCACAATCAAGCTTGTCGAGCTTAGAGAGCCCCTTAATGGCTAGTAACCATTAGAAACACTCACGCCTTGATGCAATCGACTGCTCATTTTTTAAGTAATATTTATTTGAATTAAAACAACCTGGTGAACGATGCATACGTCTGAATTCCTAGATACTCCTGTATGCATCAAGTGCTTATCTATGAGGTTAGAAAACGCGACAATTAGTGCTGTTAGTATACTACGCAGTCGCTAATTTCACCATTTTGGTTACAGGATTTCATCATGAGCTGACATTGGTTAGAGAACCATCCGAAAACCTGGGAGTACTGGACAGCTGTTTCGTCCTAGTTTGGGACTCTTCATCAGTATACACCATTTTGACTAAAACAGCTGAGATCATGAGGTGTTAACAGGTTCCGGTAACTACTTCTGCAGACCCTATCACTTAAGACAAATCCGCCAACTGACATGACTGACTTGGACATCTTGTAATGTGATAAGCAACTAAGACAGTGCACCACTCCTGGCTGAAACCCGTTTTCATCACAACATCAGTAAGTCATCTATATGAATCTTCCATTACCAAAGGATAGGTTGGTAAATATCAAACACTACGCACTACAAAGTGACTAATGGCTATCAGCCAACAGCGGTAAGGTTTTATGTACTAAATCCTGGCTACATCGATCTTCAATTGTCTGACACCATCATAAAAAGTACTAGTAAACTGTCGCGCAAAACGCAACCACAAAACAATGTATTTGACTTGTTTCTTCTTTATGATTAACTGACATAATAAACTTATTATAATTTGTTGGTCGTGGATCATGACGACCTTCAGTCATTCTTAGGTTTGGTAAGTGTCTTCAAACATTTAGTATCAGCCAATGCTGAAAACTACAAGTAAATCTGTAAAACGAGTGACTACATAGTAGCTAGATGTCATCATGCCGTTTAGTTAATAGACTTCTGTAGTCCAAAGATGAAAAAGCAAGTATCTACTCAGTTTCTTGAATATTACAAGTCTAGATCTGCACATTACGTTTGTTAGTTGGATTTGAGACTGCTCGAAATACAATAACCCAAACACTTATGGTTAACTTTTGAGAGCATTTAAATACTACAAAAAACCCACAAATACCCATGTCACCCTGTGGTAAAAGCTGTTGATAAGCGAAAGTAATTCTCTTCCTCATAACAAATGACAGACCAATGGCAACCGCTGAGTAGTTGCAGCTGATAACCCTAACTAGACAGCTCATTATGGTAATCAAATGGTGTCCAGGCCGACAAGTATGTCGATTGCCAGCTAGAAGAGACTACCAGATTAATCAACTACTTGGCAGTATATTTTGGTGTTTTCACACCAATTTTCTCAGATGATAACAATTACGGCAGTTGCGGACAACACTTTGCATTACACCACGATATCCTGGCGAACGATAGCACACCATGGTGGCCATTGCGAAGTAAAGTTTAAACAGAATAGTTTCCTTGTTTTGCTTCATTATCATATCTCTAAAAACACCCTAGTTGTGCATACGATGCAGAATATGCTGAACAGATTTGTACTTAGTCGATATACTCAGTAAATATTGTTTCACAATAATAATGCCAAAATATCCACTTGAAAACTTTTTCTGAACGCTGACAACAGCAGAAGAGAAAAACAAGGAACCATTAGGCCATAAAAACCATCGTGGAAAAATTACCAAGATAATTGTTTTACTGTGGTTAACTAGACCGCGCACATCCATCTATAGTGTTAAACAAGGTGTTGAAAAAGTAGCGCATACAACGTATTTTATAAGCGCCAGTGTAGCCTGTATATTTCTTCGCACTTATTTTTGATTACGAAGGACACTTTAGGGTGAATAGGGGCTTCCGACTTAAAAGTGAAAATCGGACATGATGCTTGAGAGGGTTGCTTTTCCATCGCTTTCGTCATCATGAAAACCATTATCGTAGTTTCACTAATATACACCGTCCGAAAAAGCTGCATTTTGCTCGTTTTTATTATAATAACGTTTCTTTCCTATCATTGTACTCATCATAGTCTGTTCAATGCTTAAATATGGAACAGGTAATAACTTATTCCTTGTAGAAATTATTGCATGTGAAATCATCTGTAAGTGGCTCAGTCTTATATCCTGTTGGGGTGTGCACATTTCGTTGCTCCCCAGAGTCCAACCTGGTCAACGAAAACTGTGACTGCCCTCCAAAGCAACGAGATGCTTCGTAGATAATGTGACTTGGAAAGCCGAAGTTGTTTCGACTTCCGACGAGGGATTTGAGGATGTCACAAATTGTGTTATGTTTACATTATCCCTAGAAAAGTTGAATTCAAAGATTGCTTGACACAAGAGATAGGTGTCTCTCCAAATTTCTGGTAGTGGCTCTAGTGCAGACACAGCAAGTCCTCACGTCCCAGATAAATTCATAAATGATTTACAATGCACACTCATTGGCGATGGAGAAACTATTGCTTTTCGCTCGGACGTGCTGGATAACATAGGAGAAAACTGTGAGTATAAGCAGTTAGTAAGCAGTTAGGTGCTAGAAACCGGTAAAATTTATTGTGTGGGACGGAAAGTGGGAGAAATAACATGTAACCCATGGAATAATTGACTTCAGTCCAGTGAAGATACTCCTGTGGGTTTCTGAAATAATAGAGAAGATTCGTAGTTCAGGTGGATGATTTGCAATTAATGGTGTTCTCTGAGCTGGTTGAGCTTCGCAACTAAACCAACCAGCTCAGAGAACACTATTAATTTCAAACTCCTGTGGCTTGTGATATGAAGGAGTTATATCTAGAGAAGACTCCGGGTAGTCATCCATGCAGTCATTAGAATAGCAAGAAGAGCCAATGATGACAGTTTGGATTACTGCAGACTTCATTAGTTAGTAAATACAACAGAAATGTACCAGAGGACAATGGAAATGTATGTGG